CCAGTTAAATACATACTGTACAAACTGTACTCTGTAGTGTTCAGTAGAGATACAAGTCACTGTTTTGCATGTTTGGGTGCGCAGACGGACAGCACATCTCGAAACATGTCAGCCTCACGTAACATGTTACACGTTGTTACACTGAATTGAATCAGAAGTGATATTCTGGACTGTTGCATCAGTTGTTTACTGACGATTTTCCGTCAGGCACCATTGGTTTGTTGCATCATTGCCAATCGGTGTGAATGGATAACAGCTTTCCACAACGTGTCCTCCACACACAACCTGTTTCATGTTATATCATTTTCACACTTTTTCATACCATTCAAGTGATCACCCTCATCTATGTTTTACGATTATTTAGTTTGTTCATTTTCAAGGGGTGATGGATGCACAGGGGCCAAACAAGACATTGTGGTATTCAGAAGGAGATCCTCAGCTTCCACATTCTCATCTCAACGCTGTGATTGGATAATCGGACGGAAGCAGGATCCCTGAAGTGTTGGGTCATCTTACAAAAGATGTTTTCCATTGAATTTTAAGGCGAGAACTCGGTATTTGCTCACACTGGGACAGACAGGAGTGACAAGGATTAGGTGGAGAGTGGGGACACCAGTTGCTTTAGGAAGGTGCTTTTGATCCTGTTGAACAGGTGAGTGTCATTTTGGCATAAAATGGTAACTCCTGAAATAAAGTAGAAACACTGCAATGTTACTTTTTTGAGAGAATGCTTCAGTCATGTAGCCATGTATTTTACAGTGGTAATACCCTTTCACAGCAGACTTTATTAGATAAAGTGTTCTGCAGGAGACGAGGGTGTCTTTACAGTCAGGTTGTACATTTACATGTCTCCCTTAGATACGGAGATAGTAGAATGGGCAGCTTGTTGACATGGTGGAAACATGTAGACACACATGCAAACAATTCTGCAAGCCTCTTTATAAAGCAACCTCATATCACAGTGTGATAGGGAAACGGAAATGCAGAGACATTGTGTCAGCACTACAGAGACAGTTGAGGGCAGAGTGGATCAGTTCATTAGACGACTAAGGACCAGTCAAAGGTAAGACGTTTCACTTACAATACAGAACTGCACAGAATTGTTATTTTATTTTACATATGCGTGTCCACTTTATTTTTTCGTTTCATTCATGTATTGCGTATTACAAAACGACTTATTACACTGTAATATGTGGTGTGCGGTAGTTTTTTGTCAAGCTCAAGTACTACATGACTGGAAACATATTTTTTCTTAATGTTAAAACTTTTGTTTCCGACAGAAAATAAAGATGTTGATGCAGACTAAACTACTGTTTAATTCTACAGTATCCTATATCTGCTTTTTCTCTTTTTAATCCAGAGCATTCACGTGATTAAAATATGCTTCTTTTAAAATATATCCTTCATTACTTGTACAAAGGGTATTTAGGGGAAGTAAATTTTCTAACAGAAAGCAGTGGTGTACCAATTTAGCATTTCACGTTCTGCTTCCAGTCCAGTGCTGGTAAGCAAATTTCAACTGTGTAACCATGGTGTATGTGGCAATATTCAATGACTGTTGCTTTGATACAGTATTTCAACTGAAGTCAGGGTGAAACGTGTTCTACGTGCCAGGTATCATAGATCTCTAGAGATCTAGAACACAGTCATTTCACTCAGATTGAACTGTCAAGTTTAGTTTAAAACAGCCAAGTATCGCACTAATACACTATTTGACCATCACCATAGTCATGGACAATCTTTAGTCAAATAACACAATATCAATCTTAATACGTTGATGTTGAAGACTGTTGCACTTCATCATCTTAATAGTTATATAAACATACCAGGATGGCAGCATATAACACCAACAACAATCAGTAAGCCTCACATATGCTTAAAATAAACAATAGTGCTTTACACCACTAGTTCCCAAACTTTCTGGCTTGTGACCCCATAACATGAAGCAATGTCTCCATTTGACCCTTCATCACAGGTTATGAGCTTAGTGGATTCATGAACATTTCTGCCATAGAGGGATTTTTCCTTCTTTTTAGATGTCAACAGTGGTGAAAGTGTCCAGTATTTTACACGAAAAAAGAAAATGTTTCTTATCCCTCTAATCATCTTATGACACCCTTAGATTTATCATGTCCTTGGGAGGGTCCTGACCCCAGACTGAAAGAGATTGGCTAATGCTGCTTCCATTTTGTTAATGTTGTCTGCTTGACAGCAATCCAGTTTACAACACAAAAAATGGAGAAGAAAAAGTGCAGCGTGTCTTTTCTTTCTTTTTACTTTCAATATAAGGACTGTGCTTTAAACAGTCTTAAAAAGGGGCGGCTGCGGCTCAGGAGGTAGAGCGGGTTGGCCGTTAATCGGAAGGTCGGCGGTTCCCCCTGGTTGCATGTCGAAGTGTCCTTGGGCAGTGAATGTGTATGGGACCCTGGTGGCTGTTCTGCCAGTGTATGAATGTGTATGACTGGTGAATGCAGATGTAGTGTAAAAGCACTTTGAGGGGTTGAAAAGACTAGAAAGGCGCTATACAAATACAGAGCATTTAAACTTTCTTGTACAACAAGTTTACGTGTATAGGGTCCATTTTTACAGCAAGTAAACAAATTATTGTTCATGGTTAGTTAATGAGAAAACATTAGTTGCTAAAACAATGTATCTAAAATGCATCCACCTGAAATGTCTTGTCTTGTGGAAAATGTCACAACATTACATTTAACTGACGCTTTTATCCAAAGCGACTTACAATTGCTATACATGTCAGGTTGCACGCCTCTGGAGCAACTAGGGGTTAAGTGTCTTGCTCAGGGACACAATGGTGGACAGGTCACAGCGGGGGATTGAACCAGGGTCTCTCACACCAAATGCATGCATCTTATCCATTGCGTCATCACCACAAGTGCATCAGTACAACACCCACACTTGCACATTACAATGTGTATATTTATCTTCATTGGTCATTATCGCATAGCTAACTGACACTCTTCAGTCTCACTGCTGAGCTATTTTAATGCATCTATTGTCTGAACTGAACCTGACATTGTTTCTTTGTTGTTCTGTTTATTGACAGATTTTTGCTCCTCTGGCTGAAGTCTTCTCACGACTTCTCTCTCTGACCAGGCTGTCATGGAGATTTCAGATGTCAACTCCTCTCTGCTCTTCATCTCTCAAAGACCCCTCAGCTACAATGAAAGTGAGAAGACACTGTATGAGAAATGCAGAGACACGCATGGTTTTCTCATTTGGTACCTGTGCCTGCAGTTCATTAACATGTTTCTGGGCATCCCGGCCAACGTCATGGTGCTGTGGCTCATCCGTAAGAACAAGGGTGACTCCTCCACCTCAGATATCTTCATTATTAATCTGGCGGTTTTGGACATACTTTTCTGTCTCACCCCTCCCCTTGAGCTGGCCAACATAGTCTTCCTCCCCACCACCAGTAGGAACTGGCTCATCCTGTTCTTCTTCTACGGCATGAAAGACTTCTCGCCTCTCTTTCTCTCCTGCATCTGCCTGGACCGCTACATGGCCGTGATCCACCCCATCACCTTCACTGAGCTGAAGGACCGTCACCACCGAGCAGTCCTGGCCCTAGTAGTCTGGCTGATCATTCTGGCCTACTCTGCTGCTAAATGTGTAAACACCAGTGAGAACTTCAGCATGATCTTTTTGGTGATGATCCTTGTAGCGTTCGCCTTCATGGTGTTCTGCAACATTGCAATCCTCTGGGCACTGCGGCAGTCTGGGCCCGGAAGAGACGAGATGCATCCTGTGAAGAAGAGAGCCTTCAAGATGGTCCTCATTATCCTGGGCATCATAGTGTTCAACTACTTCCCACCTGTTGCACTGTTCCCCTTCCGTGGCTACTTCACTAAAGACGTGTTTCATTGCACCATACACCATATTGCATTTGGCCTGATGGACTTCAGCAGCAGCATTCAGCCTCTGCTCTATCTGTCCAAGCTGCCATGGAGCCTTAACATCTGCCAGAGCAGAGATCTCCAAATCCAATAGGGAAACATTTTTTTATGTGCTGCAAAAGTTTTCATATGAACTCACTGATGTTATGAAATTTAGGAGAATATGTTATTTATATGCTGTGAACTGCCAGCAGCAAATTAGCTTAGCACAAAGATTGGAAACAGGGGTGAACAACTAGCCTAGCTCTGTCAAACGGTAACAAAATCCACCAACCAAATGACACGAGAGTGGCACTGATCTTCTCATTTAACTCTCTGCTAAAAATCAAATAAGTCTAAAAATCTATCTGTTTGGGCTTGTGTTTGTATTTTGGATGAACTGATCCTTTAAAGTGCCGTATAGCTGGAAATTTCAGTCATAAAATGCAATCTTCAAGCACTTCCACTCTAAGTAAGACCAGCTAGTCTAATCTGTTTTGATTGTTGTCTGTCAAAGCATCACTATTTTACTAGTACAATAACATAATCCAGTATCTAAGATCTTTATGGACAGAGAGGTACCTTATTGACTTGTACATGTAGCACAATTGTTTCTTGTTGAATGGGACAAACTCCTTGGCCAATGGTACTGACCGGAGAACCTAACATGTTTTTAATGGTGGTAGAAACCGGAGCACCCACAAAAACGACCTGCAAACTCCACAGAGAAAGGCCTGGGACGACCGGGGTATGAACCCAGGACCTTCTTGAAGTGCAGCCCATTGTGCCTAACTATATCTGAATTGGTGGTTACTTTATGCTTCAGGGATACTACGGTTGGAACCACTGCATTTCGCACAGGCACTTATCTATACACTGTGTTGTATTTGCTTTTATGGTTGCACTAAATGTTGGCGGGGGGGTATGTAATCCCATTTTACATTGGGCGAAAGGCAGGGTACATCCTCGTCAGGTCGCCAGTCAATCACTGGCACTAAATGTATGTGAATGTCTATTTTGTATTTTAGTGAACATATAAAATATTTTTTTTTCACTTGTCATTTCTAATAAAGTACACATATAATATGTAAATAAGAGATAAAAAAATTGTAAAATTTTCTCTTTAATTTAGACACAAATCACACAAAAGTAAGTCACAATGAAATCCTAGTAGCAGTTTAATATACACTGCTGTGCAGGTACTGTATATCAGCCAGTTGCCACCACAAACAGCAGCCCCATCATCACAAACATGACATTGCACTCCTGTGTGTTGTAACATAATGCATGGTAAGAGACATGTTTCCTGGTAGAACAGTGAACAGCCTAAAACACATCCTGTAGAATCTTCACATTCATTGATCAGCATGGCTTACAAAACAATTATCAATTAACTACCGAACGCTGGTTAATCGATACTGAATATCTGCAGTAACATTATTTTCAGTAACATTACTACACAAATACATTCTTATCACTTCAACTGATCAGACTGCTGACTGTATAGTTAAAGCTATATACAGCAATATATTCATGATTTTCACCTTAAATCAGTGTTGCAGCACACATTTCTAACCCTCTGGCTACTACAAATTGTATAAACATGTTCAGAAGCTTAATATTTCTAAAACAATTGTATTGTTCTTTTTTTACTGACCCCTGTGGAGAACTTTTAATTTCTCCACTAGGAGGTCAAAGCTCAGGACCAGTGGATTCAGTGTCTTACTTTGGAAGGGTGGTTGAAACCTTTCCTGTCATTTAATAATTTTTCTTTTCCTTTACAGCATTTCAAAAACAAACCACAGACATTGTGGTAACATACAGCAAGTTCTTTTACCGTCCTGTTTTCAAGCTGTTTCTCTTTACACTGTGTTGTGAGAGAGAAGGCTATAAGAGGCTGTATGATAATCAATCATACGGTATTGGTAAATATTTTCAACCTACGTACTAAATCACAGCAAAGATTAGACAACAGTGTATTGCACTGTACCACAAACATCACATTACAGCTTAGAGCATTAAACTTTATTCTCTGAACTCAAGGTCCGCTTACTAGCTTTTTTTTTCGTGGAGCTTTCATCCACAGCCAGAACAGTAGTGGTGATTCAGGTTGAACACAGCTCTGTTAAAACAGGAGGTTCAGCCTGAGTAGCAGAATTAAAACGTTTAAAGGCACAGCAATTTGTAATACTCAAACTGATGTAGACCGTGAGATGCCTTTCAAAATTCCGAAAAAGCTTGTAAGTAGACCTTTAAGATTATTGTTTTAAATCACACTCAGCACCCAGTCTATACTTTTGAATTACTGAAAGATTTTTTTATAATACTCCCAAGAATTTGGTTCTAGTTTCTATCAGCGTCTGAAAGTGTCTCAGAAGCTGAAGGCTGGGCTGCGTTTGTTTCAGCTTCGCTGGTGCTGCCCTCGCTCTGAGCCTTCTGCTCCTTGGCTGCGTGCATCTTCAGGTGCTTTTTAAGGGAGGACTGGTCGGTGTATGTCTTTCCACACTGGCTGCAGAGGAAGACCTTCTCTTTGGTATGGACCAGTTCGTGTCGCTTCAGGTGACCCGACCTGCTGAAGCTCTTGCTGCAGTATGAACAGCTGTACTCCTTCTCTCCTGTGTGAGTCCTCTGGTGCAGTTTGAGGCTGCTGGCCACCGTAAACTTCTTGCCGCACTCGTTGCAGCTGTACGGTCTTTCTCCCGTGTGCATCCGCATGTGTATGGTGAGGTGGCCCGCTTGGCTGAAGGTCTTCTTACACAGCTCACAGCTGTAGGGCCTCTCTCCAGTGTGAATCCTGTAGTGTGTTTTGAGGTCCCCCAAGCCGTTGAACCTTTTCCCACACTGAGCACAGCAGTACGGCTTCTCACCGGTGTGGATCCTTTCGTGTATACGCAGGTTGCCGGCATTGCTGAAGGTTTTGCCGCACTCCTGGCAGCTGTAAGGCCTCTCCCCAGTGTGAGTCCGCAAGTGGACTTTGAGCTGGTTATGTTCGTTGAAGCGCTTCCCGCAGTGCGAGCAGGAATACGGCTTCTCTCCAGTGTGGATGCGTTTGTGTATCCTGAGCTGACTGGGATGGGCGTATGTTTTGCTGCAGATGTTGCAGCTGTAAGGTCTTTCTCCTGTGTGGGTGCGCTTGTGGGATTTGAGGAGATCGGCCCGGCCAAAGCGTTTACCACAGTAGCTGCAGCTGTGGGCCTTCTCACCGCTGTGAGTCTTGATGTGGACGTTGAGCGAGGCTGCCCGACTAAATGTTTTGGGACAGATGGGACAGCGCAAAAAGTTGTCACGGACCTCCAATAACTCATTTGCGGGAACAGCGGGGGATTCGTTTTCCTCATTAATCACTACTTCTGGCTCCGCAATCTGTCTGTTTGCTCCCTCTGGTTCGATTTCTAACTCGGGGTAATATCTCAATGCATGCTTTAACTCTCGCTTAGAGAAACAGCCATTGTCATCATACGGCATCACACCGTTCTGCTCCTCTTCCTCGGTCTTAAAGAACTGCCCATCCTGCAAGTAATTGTCAGAAACAATGGTGACTTTAACTTCACTGTCACTGCCGCTGGAGTCTTGATCGAGACCTGTAGATGGCGACAGAGGTGCATATGCATCATGACTGTCCAAACTGACCTCTGTGCTCTCGTTTTTAATCGGCCTCATTGTCAGATTAAGAAGGGATGAAGGTTGGGAGAGGTCAATAGCACCGCTTTCCTCCAGGACAGGCTCTGTTTTTACAGACATGTTTTGGGTGGAGATGCCTACTTCTGCTGTATTCACACATGGTTTTTCTACCATTTGATCAGTCTGCTGTAAAAAGGAGGCAGAGGACACGCTCCCCCTCATCTTGTCTTTGTGCTTCCTCCTGAAGCTCTTCTTGTCACTGCTGCATATGGACATCTTGTACATGCCCTGGCCTGAGTTGATGGGATGACTGTTCCATTCTGAAGTCAAAAACTTTTCAGTGGCATCTTGTTCACGAATATCTGTAAAACATTCAAGGGCAAAATAATATTATTTAGAGTCAAACATACCTACGTTACAACTAAAATGTTTAATTTGCTAAAAGCAGTGTAGGCACATTATAATTTATAGCTGCATTAATTGATTTTGTGGACACTTGGGGACTTGCCTTTGTCTTGCATATTTTAAATAGTACCTGACAATGTAGTATAACGGTGTCCTGGATGGTATTTTATTATTAATTTATTATGTTGTTATGCTGATTTATAAATCCAGCAGATATGGAGCAGCATAAGCTTTCATTTGCAGTTTGGTTTCTTTTCAATCTATAATTCTTTCTTCTATATTCTTCTATAATTCTCTGCAGCTTTGTCACTGCGAACGACCCGTTTCACATTACACATAGTCATTTGATGCATTTATATTAAGACACTGATCAGTGCAGCTTTAACCAGAGGATGCTTAAAGGCTCCCTGTTGTCTTTTCACTGTAAACAAACACTATAGGCCCTATTTAAACAATCTATAGTGCGAGGTCTATGGGCATACTTACACTAGGTGATCCGAACCATGCCCGAGCACGTTTAACCCCCAAAGTCCACTTCGTTTGACCAGTGTGATCGCTCCTTGTCGTGTCTGGGCCCGGGCATGGTTTAACGCACGGTACACATCTAGTGTGATCACAAACTGTGCATGAAACTCAAACTGTACAGCCGTGCGAGAGAGCGCGCTCTTCTTCAACACAAGCTGCATCGCGATGACGTAAGCATAGTTAGCAGCTTTAATCAGATTTACTGGTTATTCTATACATACACGTCCAGGTGATCATTGAAAGTGCAGTCATGGCTCCCCATTCATTTAGAAAGGGGTCTGGTCTTTTTAGGCTGAAAAAAAGGTAAGGCCCAGAGGTATTAAAAAGATGGCTGCCGAGTGACGGGACTCGCCTATAAGGACTTTGGTCCAACTCTATTGGATAATCTGGGCACAAAGTAAGGCGCAAAATGCACAAGGTTGTATTTAGTTTCTTCATTAATCATAGGTGTGTTTTGGGTCATCTCCCATGATGCAGCGTGATGCAGACCAACAGCAGAGAGAGACAGAGGTCCCATCCACACTACTCCGTTTTAGTTTACAAACGGAGAATAAAAACTAATACAATATCCGTCCACACCTGCGTTTCCGCTGCGTTTTGGAGTTGATGTCTGTCTATTTTAAAATGACTGAAAACGCACAGCAAGGGCTCGTTCAGGTGCACTGGGCATGCGCATGCTAGTGTAAACATGAAGCAGATGGTCTATTCCGTAGTAACAGAAGATTTGGCAAAAGAATAAATAAATACAGACTAAGCATCAGACCAGTTTTTTTTTTTGCATGGATCAATAATGAGCTGGGACTGTTACTAAAGGTAACACGGGAGTGTGGAGGCAGAAAACAGACTGGGAGCTGTTGCAAAGTAAAAGGCGACATGCACAGTACAAGTGTAGGCAGAATAGTGTTATTTGCACGGTACAGAATATTTTAATAAAAATATGATATCAAAAACCCGGTCAGCAGCATTGTGTTTCTGCTTTGCAAGACCCAAACAGAGAGCCGAGCGTGAGCGGCTGTGTCATCGTTTCTAAAGTCCTCCGTTTTGGCCCGTCTTCACTAAAACGCAAATAGTTTTTTAGACAGCTCTGATTGAGCTTGGGACTGGTTCTTTACTCCAAGCTATTTCTCTATATGAACCTGGGGTCTCATTTACAAATGGCGCGTACACACAAAACAGGGCTGGAATCGTGCGTATGCCACTTCCCACGCAAATGTTATGATTTATAAAAAAAACAAACTTGAAGGGAGAATATGCTGTCCTCCATGCAAACTCTGAGCCATGAGTATGCATATAAACTGGAGAAATGAAAAACGGCTACTCGCAAGGCAGAAGGATGAAACGGTTTGAAATCATACTATTGTGTAAAACAAATCGAAATATTACCTCTGAGTATTATAGGCCAATAAGATTTAATATGTAAATATTATATGAGTTCATTTGCAAAACAGATGAAAGCCTTTCTGAATAAACAAACACCTGCACAATTAAAAACACAATAAGATAACTTGCAGTGCACACAGAAAGAACCATGACTTGGGAGAATAAACAAATACAGAGAAATCAGTTTTTGCAAAAAAAATAGATAATAAAAAAATAAATAAAGGCCTGCCATGCTGTGCGCCAGTGTGTGGATGTTGGGTCATCCAGTGTGTCTTGCAAATACAATTATGCCCAATTCATTGTGAATATTCATTTTACCAATAGGTTTCATCTGGCTGGAAATGACATAAACAAGTGACAAAGACAGTAAGATAATGTGTTAGAGATGTTAATGATAAATCTTCAAAATTATTCACAACCCTAACAAAAGTCTCAGTAATCAATGGCAAAGCCTTTGTTTGCCATCACAATGGTTCTTATAATTGCTAACAAGCTTTTTGCATGTCTCCAGTGGGATTTTCGAGAACTCCTCTTTTGCGATGATCTCCAGGTCTTTGAGGTTGGAAGGGCTCCTTGCTATCACTCGGGTCTTTAGTTCCCTTGTTCTCGATGGGATTCAGGTCTGCACTCTGGCTGGGCCACTCCAAAATGTTGATATTGTGGTCTGTGAACCATTTCTTGGCCACTTTGGCTGTATGTTTAGGGAACATTGTTTTGTTGGAAGATCCACTGCTGCCCAAGACCAAGTTCTTCTGCAGACTGCCTGATGTTTTCCACCAGTATCTCAATGTAGTCCTCTTTTTTCATGATGCCATTTACTTTGACAAGGTTGCCTGGTCCATTGGCTGCAAAAAACCCCCAAACATTACTTTCCCACCACCATGCTTGACTGTGTGGATGTTGTTCTTGGGGTTAAATGCTTCTCCTTTCTTTCGCCAAATGAAAGCCACATCCCTGTGCCCAAACAACTCAATCTTCGTCTCATCTGACCACAGAATTAATGACCAAATGCTTTCTTCTTTGTCCAGGTGAGCTTTAGCAAAGGCTATGCGAGCTTTTGTGTGCCTGTCTTGGAGAGGTGGAGTCCTCCTTTGTTGGCATCCATAGAGAACAGCCTTGTGCAGTGTCCGCTGGATTGTCTGTCTTGAGATGTTGGTACCAGAGTTGCTCAGATTCATTAGGATGTCCCTGGTGGTGATCCTTGGATTCTTCTTGGCCTCTTGCACTACCATTTTTGCCAGCGCAAGGGTCACTTTTGGCTTCCTATTACGCCTTTTGAGGCTTTTCACATTGTGGCACCCCATGTTCTTTCTGATTATGCATTGCCCTGTGGCCACTGAAAACACTAGTATATGGCTTTATAGGTTTTCCCTGTCTTGTGAGCAGTCACAATGCACAACCGGAGGTCCTCAGTATTGGTAAAATGAAATTTCACTATGAATCAAAATCTGGCAAGGGTATGAATAATTTTGGGATTAACTGTATGTGTCCTCCTCTGCACAGTCACTACTCAGGAGGGATGTGCCTTCCTGCAGATCGGTTATCAAGGGGGGTTGCCCCGTTTCCTCCAGTGCACAAGGTCACACTGGGTTAAGTCTTTTTTTTTAAGCTTGTCAGTCAGAAATTGCCGTCCTTACCTTCATGCAGTCAGTACGAATTAATATAAATGAGGGGCGTTGCACTGGCCATTAATAGGCAACTATGGGCGTTTAAAGGATGGCTCACATGCGCTACATTTCAAGTTGATTGTGATTTATACAGGGAAATTGGCGCAGGATGTGCGTGAACTTTTTTATAAATCAGAATATTTTTGTGCGTACACACTTTCTGTGTTTTGTCTGTACTCGACCTTTAGGCGTCTTTCAGATCCAGTTTTATAAATGAGCCCCTTGGACTGTGTGTTTGACCTTTTAGATGTGTAGACGAATGCAGAACATTAATTAACATTAGATCCTGTTCCCAGACAGTGTAAGTCAGTGCCCAATATGTATGCTGTATGTTTCATCCAAGGAGATATCACAGATTATATATTGCAATATGTAAAAAATAGTCTGGACCATTATAAAAAATAATGCTGTGTGTTTCTTTCCATGCATGCAGACTTTTGAACTTTATGTCTAACTCTGGGTTGACTCACACATTGGTCCACACTGTCTCAGCCATAAAGTTTATGGCCTCATGTCAGCCATCTATGAATCACTGACACTGAAAATTCTAGTTATTGATTTGTGCATTTTGAAAGCATATACTGACATTTTAGGGTTACATATTTACATCTTCAGGTACATATATATTTGCTGTATTGTAGAATTGTCTATTTTGTTCTATCATTAATAAAGGCAGGATATTTTAAGAGTTGTACTACAGTGTAATTAGTGCTGTACCGCACAGTGATCTCTAAGCCTACCTCATAAACGTTTGCTGTTTTGAATATACTGAAACCTGCCTTGTTTAAATCTGCAATGCAGTTTTATGTATGTTTAGTTGAACACACACATCGCCTGACGTTACCCTATTTGCTGACAATGCAGGGTCTGTCTGAACAAAAGGTCAGCCGCTGCACTCAGCGACACTGTCCGCTGTCGTGACAAACACCCTACATTATTCAGCGAGCGTACACTTCCATACCTCTGCTGGCAGACTCCGTGCTCTTCTGTGCGAACAGCAGCCGCTTCAGGCCCTCGTTCTCAGACTCTATCCTGTGTATTGTGCTCTGGTACTCGGACAGGGTTCGGTCCACTGAGTCCAGGATGTCGCTCACTGTCGCTTTAAAGATCTCATTCAGAGAAGACTCCAGGAAGATTTTCAGATCACTCGACTTGGCCATGTTAGACCGAGCGGTTGTAACGTTAGACAACTCACCAGACGGTTTGTACACAGCTGAAAGTATCTTGAAAAAAAGTGGGCGTGTGCGACTCCGCTGCCGTGTACGGAAGAAACAAAGCAGAGACAGTCGCATGAAAGTGACGGCGAGGAGAAGCCGGATTATTTTTTGCCAACATGTCTGTAGTGCCCCCTGTTGGTATGGAGTGGAGTCGTTGGATCAACGGGGACCCTTGTAACAACTGTTAAACTGTTTCCACAAATAACCACGGTGACAAATGGTGTTTAAATAACTACAAGAAGGACTGCAAAACCATAGCAGCACTTCTAGGTCACTAGCAAACTACTAACTGCGAATGCTAATAGTACAAGTACTGCTAACCAGTCTCTAACTTCACTTTACTAAATCACTACAACTGCAAGGGTGCTCACATACATGCTAGGTAACGTTAAAGTTAATGCTAATATTTGAATACCAACAGTCATGCTAACCGTGTGCTTGCTTAGGTCAGTTGTAAAGTTAATATAGCTAATAATGCTAATCATGTAAATTGTTGATAACTAATAACAACGTTACATAATATTAATAACGTAACGTAACGTTACGCTTCTTCTACTAACCTTACGTAAATTAACGTTAATGTGCTAACGTTAGTATGCTATGACATATCTACTTTAACTGCAACACCGTTAACAAGAGTGCTAAGTTAATAATAATAATAATAATAATAATAATAATAATAATGGAAATGGTAATTGGCTCATTTTGAATACTAGTGTGACCACTCATAAAGCTAACGTTAGCTAATAATGAGTAAAGCTAAGCATGTGAATGCTGATGAATGCTAATTGGGCAAACACTATCAAAAATGCAAAAAATAATACCAAAACGAACAAGATTTCTAAAGTGTTTAACTTACATCAATTAATTAAAGCTAACTAAAAATAGTTTAAAGCAAATAAAATAGGAAAAAGTATGTTAAAAGAAGTATGCAGTCTATGCAATTTCTTTGTTAGAGGTACTCTAAAAAACCTGTCATGTCTGTGTTAAACAGGTTTGTATGTGTAGACCAATAGAAAGAGGCACAGCTAATTCCAGTGCAGCTAATGACTTCAGCACATAGCATCTGGATACCTTCTGGTTTAACCACATAATTCCTGGTGTCATTTGCAGTAAGGAAGCTGAGCCACTCCCCTCATCTGACCTGTGTGCTTGCATGCCTTCAGGGTTGGTGGGCGTTGGCCTAGGCCTCTCAGGTATCTCTAAGCTTTGGAGTCATCTGCCAATCACAATGTGCCTTTTCTTCCTGTTGTCACTCAGCTGCTTTCTCTTTATTTCTGTCTTCTAAATTTCCCCCTTTTTTTCCCACCAGACACATCTGCTGGGAGACAAACGGGACAGAGAGAGATGGAAGTCTGATCTTGATCTATCTAATATGGACAGGAAACATCAAGAAGAAGGTGGAGAACCCGGTTCAGACTAGGACTTGCATGCATCTTTATGCGACTCCACGCACAGAAATGCTGCTCAGCTGAAAGGGAGCAGATGTGAGGCTTGTTTGTTGTGCGCGGCAGGTTCAGACATAATCAACGGAGGGTTATTTGTATGCTTGTGTGCATGTGTGTGTGGATGAATATGTCTGTGAAAGCACAGCTCTTTGACAGTGGTGTAAACCTAGTATAACGTAGTGGTGTGTCTTTCCCTCCCACAAAACTTGACTTAAAACCTCACAAGCCAGCAGATCATATGACGTTACTTTATAGAGCCTGGAGAGGGTAAGTCATGCTTCACAGTTGAAAGGTTCCTCCTAATGAAATGTTTCTTTTTTTTGTTTTTTGAGGTTTGAAAATGTTTAGTTTAATCTCTGTGCCATGTTCAGTGGTAAAGAATGACATTCTAGCTAATGTTCATCCTCTTTAGACAAATTCTATTATGATACACATATTTATAAGTCATTTAACAACTTTCACTTCAAACTGTGTGGCTGTGTTCCTCTTTTTATTTCATTCTCCCTGCTATCGTTTTTTAAAATATTTGTACTTCTCTAATATTGTGTTTACCATTCTGTCAAGCCTGTGATGTTCTGTATAAACTTTCCAAGCATTGTAAGCAACTTCTGCTATTTTCCAGTTAGGGCAGACTGCAGTTTGTCTGCCTGAAAGCATCCTGATTTGTTGAGGATGAAATGGTGTTTCTTTCTGTCGTCTGAGCATTTCTTTTTATCATCAACAGTGCTGTCAAACATCACACACAAGATTAACTGTGTTATCACAACACAAGATGGTGAGACATTGTAATCAGTACTGTTTAATAGTAGAAAGAGCCAAATCATTTTGAAATTAATTTGATTTAAACTGTCAGATTCTCACTTATAAGCCCTCAAGGGAGACAGTACTGCTTTAAAAAATGTTGAATGAAATTTTATTATCGCCACATTTTTTGTTTCAAAACACAGTGCGATATATTTAACTTAACTGACGATCCTCTTTGTTAATCTTCTATAATTCTTGTACACGTACTGTAGCACTTCTTGCACCCTGACAGGAACTGAGAAGTGAGCACCCACACAGGAAATGTGGTCAAGGTCTGTCCCGGATGTTGGTTGCATGACGTGAATAGAATAATGAAGAGATAGACAGTGGAGGATAGAAACAAAGTGTAACAGAGAGAGGGAGAAATAACTGAAGGTGAGAAAGAGTAGGCAGAAAATAACAAGATTTGAGGTGAGATATTATAACACCCCCACTACAAACATGGACAATGTTTTGTTGTTGACCTTCTGTTGCTGGCCTTGGTGTTGTCAGGAGAGATGCCCTTGGTTTGTTTTGACAACATGCAGTTCAAATTTTGACTCTTTCACTGTTTTATCCTTTGCCCAGAGTCACAGTGCAGTCTGCCGATAAAATGATAAAACACAGGACGCACGACTGTTAAACTGCTCACCAGAAGCAACCCCTGAACCCCACCCTCTGCCTCCCGCTTAATCCACGGCGTACACCTCTATCTCTCTTTCTCTCTTGCTCACTTGCTCGGCTGATTTTTCTGTGACTGCGGTCAGGAAGTACAAACATGCTTTTGTGACATTTCACTTAAAGTCTTTTGCACTGCACATCTGCAATGCTACACCAAGAAGGTTCACAAAATTGACATATGAGCAGTGCAGGCTACAAAACAGACAAGCATCTTCTCCGAACTGGATTATGTTGACATACAAGTGGTGAGTGTGGAGGATTTTTGTGGCTTCGGGGCTTTAAATTATTTTATTTCAGTTCTGGTTTAGCTTGGATTGTGGTGTGTAATTTAAAATGCTGTCCACAGCAGTTTTAAAAGTACTCCTTCTCACAGATAAATAGAAAATAATTTAGAGCCACTACAAAGGCGTCACTATTACTCAACAACCAAACATAGTTGAATCTAATGAATGGCTTTTTTGTCTGTCAGCTCATGAGATGTTCCTTCTGGAGGTTCCCCAAAGTTTTTTTTTCAAGTGGCATTGAAATAGTTCATGAAGGATCAGTTTAACAGAACAATTTTGCATTTGTTGTTGCACGATATCGGGCTCCCATAATTCGAGGGAAGAATTTCTCATGTTGCTTCAGATAGGGTTTAATGTTTTTTTTTTCTCTTGTCACAGATCTGTGAATGGCACTATTGGAGGTTGTGACATGCTTCGGGATTTCACGTTCATGGAATCTTACAAAATGATCGTCCTTCTTACAGCAGAGGAGGACATTTTGTAGCCAGACAACGTTTACAGCCACAACCCCTTTTACTGAAACTCAGCTACGGAACTGACTGAGATACATGCTAATGGAGGAGGAAAGCTTGTGCTCCTCTCTGCCAGATATTACGGATTCAGTCCTTCAACAGCCTCAACAAGACTCATGGATCTCAATAGACCACCAGTACATTAATGGAGAACAGCAGGCCATTGTGTGGGGCGAGACAGAGGTTCAGATAAACCAGGCACATGGGACAGATCAACTCCCTTTCTCTGAGGAGCCTGAACTGTGGGAGCAAATAATATGGCCGGTGACCTGTACCAGTCCTCACCTTTCCTTCGCCACAGTGCAGTGGGACATGCCTGATCCGTCTGCGGGGACGTCTGCACTCATGACTGACAGTGGCTTGGCCAATAAACTGGACTCTGGCAGTGTGACAAGTCTAGACGCAACTTCTGAGTCACTTCACCAATCTCAAGTTGTTAATGCTGAGCTTTTCACACTGGAGGACAGAGAGGAAGAAGATGGGTTTCATTCACAGTGTCTGAGCTCAAATCTAGAGTGGACGGGAAGCTGCTCCGAGGTATGTTCTGTATGTGATGAGATACAGAAAGAGGTGTGATGTTGTCATACAGCCATTAATTAGAATTTTGTCTACTATTTTTACGCATTTTCCATGTGCATATACACTTTCATATACAGTTTCCTGTATCAGTAACCCTTCCTTCTCTGAGCAGGGACTGACTCGACTTTAGCCTCACCACCTCAGTCTGTATCTCTTTAGAGAAACGTGTTTGGGTTACTTTAGTAGGTTGAGCAGACGTGGGAGGGCTCAAGTAGACATAATGTTGGTCAGATGAGGCTCAGAGTGCAGCTCTTTGCGCGTGAACACGCTGGCAATCACAAGCTTTCTGATGTTCATGAGCCTGTGTTGCAATTTCCAGCCATGTGATGCTGCAAATGTGCAAGAGCCGACGACACAGGAAAAGGAAGACACAACACATGAGCTGTTAGACAGTAATAACGGTACGTATTACTCAGAGCAACATCTTAATTAGGTGTTAAATAGGAAATGTTTTTCCATTTGTCGCACAGTTTGACATTCCACATTCAAGATTATTGGCTTCTGGAGTTTGCTTGTGGCCTGCTAATTTTTTTTAATCAGAAATGACTTCTGGTTTAACTGCAAAATGGTGATGTTTACCTTCTTCTAAAATGTCTTTTTCAGAAATCCCCCTGAGGACAGACTCAGAAGAAGAGGAGGGACATTCAACAACCTCTGATTCTGTTGAAACTGTGGACTTAATCGACACTCTTGAAGAGATTGAAGGCTCGGACAATGAGGCGGACGGCTTTGTAGATTTAAACCCAGAAGAGGAACAGGAGGAGCCCGCCATTCTGTTGACTGGACAGGGAGACTCGGAGGAAGAGCAAACTTCAGCGAATGTTGTTAAGATTGAAGAGGAGGATAAGGAGGGAGACAAGGCAGAAGAGGAGCAGGGTGTTGAGTCTTGTACTGAAGAAAGTGAAGAGGCAAAAACTGTCAGTTATCTGAGTGATGTGTGAGTATCATGGATTTCATATAAGAAAGGGGAACAGGAAGTGTTTATTAACAGTAAAAACTTCCATTATATTAATCATGTCACAGTTTTGTTTGCTATTAAAACATTAATTGCATATTTCAATTACTCTTTGTAGGGAGGTTCCTGATGAGCCACTACAAACCGACGATACTGGACCAACCATAAACCCAGATAAGCTAATTGATCTTCAACAGTCAGAGCTTTCAGAGGAAAGGTGGTGCTCAAGGACTGAAGAGGACACAGAGATACTAGAACGGTCACATGAAGATCCCACAGGGCAGACCGAAGCGCAGGAAATGTGTGAAGATGTAAGTCAGAACGTGGACCCTGAACAGTCAGAGGCCGTGGACGACAACGAAGAACCATCGATACAGTTGGCAGATAATGCAAAGAGGATAGATGCCTCACAAGCGATACTAGAGCTGACTGAAAAACTGAAGGAGACAAGTTTAGAGTATCAAGATTGTGATCAAACAACTTCACAAGACGCCGAGCCTGAGAGCTGTGAGTCCGAGCAGCTTGAGATGACCAAAGAGTCGGAGCAGAACCAAGCGGAGGTGTCACATCAAGCAGAGGAGCCACACTCCACAGACCTGTTGCCCCATCTGGAGCAGTCGACGCAGATGGAATTGACAGAAGAGTCAACCCAACCTGAAAATGCAGACCTGCCAGAGCAGTCCACTCAGTCAGAGCAGACAGTTTGTGTTGAAGCTGAAGACCCTCGAGTGGCAGAGCAGCAAGCACAGACGGAGCCATCAGAGCAGAGTGAGCAGCCGCTGCAAACGGCCGACTCGCCTCAGCCATCATTCCCTGAGCAGCTCGCGGGACCAGAGAAGACGGATGAGACCGAAATAACACAGCAGCTGTCTCCTGAGACTGAGGTCACACAGCAGACAGCCGAGGCCGAGTTAAACCAGGTGGACAAACAGGCTGAGACAATTCGGGATGAAGAAGTACGAGGTAGCGAGGACTGGTCCGTACAGACAGTTGTCACAAATGGAGAGCAACCCAAACCCCCCAAGACAGCAGTGCTTATCATGAACGGAGGTGAGGTGGACATAGAGATGGCCCGCCACCTTGCTGAGCGGCTGTACAAGTTGGATGGGATCCAACGTGTGGACGTGGTGAAACACTTAGACAAAGAGTAAGCTCAAATAATACATATCTTCTATCTTCCTTTCTTGTGTTATCAGCACTGCAGCTAAATCCACAACTGGTCAGTGAAGCTCTCAGACGCAGAAGCGCTAATGAATGAATTCCATTGTTAGTATCGTGTCATGCATACAACGTCCAAGACACCATAAATTCAAATAAGCCACAAACAGTCCTGCGTATACATTTTCTAACATTAAAGTCCAAAAATATAGAACCAACTTTAACAACTGTCAGAATAAAATCTTTAGACTTTAATTTTCTACAACAAAATTCAAATATCACTGGCAAAAGCATTTACTGTTTAGTAATTAAGGTGGAAATAGTCCACCTTGCCTCCTTCTCTAGGCTTTTGAAAAAATATGAGCAAACGTAATGCATCAAAATTAAACAACCTTTCTAATTTGTGACCGTCTGTTCACCACAATATTTCAGGTTGGGACTTTCCACTTCAACCAAACCACAGAGCTCACACAACCTGTTTTCCTGAATATTTTTGAGTCAGCCAACATAAATAACCAGATGAAGAATGCTGGCTCTCAACTGTGCAACTGGCTTCTAGATAAACAATATATATATATATGTGTATCTAGAAGCCAAATATCTTCATATATATATATATATATTGTATGTCTATGATATTGGATTTGACAAGAAAAATATACAGCATATCCACCTCCTCAAAGATTGAGTGAAGCCCACAGAAGATGACTGTGTAATTTATTCCATATAAACACATTATTTAATGCGTAGAGCCCCTTTAATGTTACATGGCAGCAGATAGAATAAATAATATCTGCTGCTATGTAACATTAAAGGGGCTCTATGCAGATTTTACACATTAAGATATGTTTACTTGTCATAGTTCTTGGCATAGCTGTTCAGTCTGTTTAAATCTATGGTTAAAACCAGTTGTGTATTGTCTTCTGTAGCTTTGGAGGAGTTTTCAAATGAGAAAATACTGGGCTACCAGTCAATAACAGAAAGTCTGTGTTATAAATTGGGTGTGTGAAGGTTAAAAGACTTTTGCATTTACATGCATTCATTTGAGTTGTATGAGGGGAAGTGTAGGATCCAGTATTTTTGGAGTTTGACCTATACTAGTAGTTAAAAATCAGGATGTATCAACCTTTGCTGCCTGATTTGGTTTTTCTGATCTGTCTGTTCAACTCCCCCAACTTTATGGAAACGCAATACTGAAATGCTGAATTACGTCTTTAAAGAGTTAATCAATAACAGGCTGAAAGGCAGTGTTTTACTTGTTCTGTGTGGCATGTCATATGGGATTTTGGTTGTCATAATATTGAGATTTAACTAAAATAGAATCCATTTTTTTATTTTGACCACATCATCTTCCTTTGCCTCCAGTTTAGATTGAAGCACCGATGATCATCCCCAAAATATTATCATCATTAGAATCAAGATTCTTGATTTGCCTTGAAAACTAAATACATTATATCATTTCTAAGGAGTAAAGCGATAACTCTGATGCAGAATGTATTTTTTTTCTCTCTTTAGTAATGACTTCAGTCGAGCTGTCGGGGAGGAATACCTCAAATTGTTTGACTTCACCGGGCAAACTCTCGATCATGCCCTGAGGTGAGAATTACAGAGGCGGCACCTGGATTGCATGCACTGACATCTCTCATAAAAGAACTTGTAATCTTTTTTAAATTTTCCTTTCGGTTTCTCTCCCTCTCAGATCTTTCCTGAAAGTGGTGGTACTGATAGGAGAGACCCAGGAGAGAGAACGCGTGCTGCAGCATTTCGCCTGCCGCTTCCATCACTGCAACCCCGACTCCTTCACCTGTTCAGGTGAGCCTCAGCCACGGTTTACTTGCTGTTGTTTTGTTTTCTGCTGAAAGAGACAGCAGTGAGCACTCAAATGTGACAGATGCATGTGCCATTTGCCCTCTTTTTTTATATCCTCAGGGGCTGTGTTGGCTCTTACGTGTGCTTTGATGCTTCTCAACACTGACTTGCACGGCCAGGTGGGAAACATTTATGATGGCCAAAGTTTTGTTTTGACATGACACTGTGTTATCAGACGTTCTCTGTGAGGCATTTAGTTAATCGCATGTTTTGTGTGTGTTAACAGAATGTAGGAAAATCCATGTCCTCTTCTAAGTTTGTGTCCAACCTGGATGGGATGAATGAAGGAGAAAACTTCAGCAAGGATCTCTTGAAAGTAATGATTTTTTTTTTCAGAAACCAAAGTCTAATCCTTGTTGGTAAAGATTTTTTAACCTTTCCCTCTCATCTACATTTCAGAGTCTTTACAATTCCATAAAGAGTGAACCGCTGGAGTGGGCTATGTAAGTGGACTAATATAGATACTGAACATCATTTGTTCTTCCTCATTCATTCTTCCTCGATTATATCCTTCACATATATATATAATCTCACACTCTAGAATCTGTCTTTGCATTTTGAAGTGATGAAGAGGAATTAAAGAGCTCTGTCTTGGTGGACGAAGATGCAGCAGACGACGCGCCAATGCGCTCAAAAGCCAACCCCTTCCAGGACGTCCCTCATGACAAAAAGGCCTCTGTGGTCAAAGAGGGATTCCTCCAAAGAAAACTCCATGCCGACATCGACGGCAAACGCAGTGAGTGAGACACAAACTTGCATGGATGAACTGAGCGTCACCTAGTATCTGTCTAGTTTATATAGCCTTGGAGGAGAGTCAGATCCTGTGATTTAGTTAATGTGACATATGACAAATCCACGGCAACAGTAGATCCTATGTCAGATGTGGTTTGGTGTTGTGTTAGGGTAAGCTGAGGATTGCAATTGGAAGATATGTATCGCAGCAGTGCTCATGAAAGTAATCAAGTAATTAACGTAATGTAAAAACAGATTTTCTATCTTTTGTGACCCCATGGCAAAACTCTGACCTCCTACAGGTCGAAACAAGAATACATATGAGATGCGGAAGTGGTGATTTAATTACATTTTTATTTTATTTTTTAGTTTATTTAATGTATTATTTTACTCATTGATTGATTTTATATTAGTTTGAATGTGTTTGTTTTAATTTATCCCCATTTAATGTTTGAAATATATTTAGTACACTGAATCTGAGCACACCACATTATCCTGTAAAGGTTTTTTGGGGGTAAGCACTCCTGTCAGTTAAATAAATAAACGGATTGTATAAAATTTAAACCAAAACTATAGAATATATATAGAATAATGGAAACTTACATATATTTTGATAATTTCTTTGCTGTAAAGTTTTAATTTGTGATATCACTGTTGTCTAATCTTCATGCACCTGCTGATTTGTTGTGGCAGCTCCTTGGGGGAAGAGAAGCTGGAAGACTTTCTACGGAGTGCTGAAGGGGATGGTCCTATACTTACAGAAGGTCAGAATTCTTTTTTTAGCATTATCCAGTAGGATTCTCAAATCAATGTCATTAGAATTTTCTCTACAATAAATATTTATAGAATTTATAGTGATTATAAACACTTTTCTGTAATATCTCCTCTTTGTGTGTGTGTCAGAATGATTACAGGAGGGATCAGCCGGAGGAGGTGGTGAGTGTGCACCACTCTCTGGCCGAGCAGGCAGCCGACTACACCAAGAAGCCACATGTTTTCCGCCTGCAGACGGCTGACTGGAGGGTTTTCCTATTTCAGGCCTCGTAAGTCACAGCCGGAGTGTGAGTGTGTTTACGTGTGTCAGAGAGTCCAACAGTCAGTGTCAGAGCTCTGTGTGTTTTCCTCTCAGATCCAAAGTGGAGATGAATTCATGGATCAGCCGCATTAACCTGGTTTCGGCTCTTCACTCCTCGCCTCCGTTCCCCGCCGCTGTCGGCTCTCAGAGGAGGTTCTTCAGGCCGATCCTCCCCGCCTCGCAGTCTGCTCAAACTCTGGTACACACTCCTACTTGTTTTTCTTAGTGACATTACTTCTCTTCTAAATAAATACAAGTCATTCTTTTAAGTTATATATTTCAAGTTAATTTCAGTGTTACAGTGCATGTTGGTAAGATGAAAATGTCACAGGTTCAATTCCTGGGAGATTCTACCAATTCTGACTCTACTGTCCACCAGTTGACATATTTATACATATGCCAAGCCACCCCTATATACAAACTGCTCCAAAATACTTGTTGTTGAATCTAGCTCATGTTTTGCTTAGTAAGTCACACAATACATGTTCCTGGACTATAAAGTAACAATGCAATGACAAAGGTTGTTTTTCACATTAGAAGCAATTACCATGATAAACATGTAGAGCTATCTTAAAATCGCACACATACTTTTTCTGAACAGCCAATAAACTGTATTTTTGAACGTAACCTTAGCTATACAGTGGCCACTGTGGCTACATGTGAGAGTTAAGGAATAATAATAAATGCTGTCTGTGGACGTAGCCACCATGACGTCACCTATCGGTTTGTGGGCTACCATTTTGAAGCCTCGAGGCTGGCATTTTGGCCGTTGCCATCTTCGATTTTTGGAACCAGAAGTGACCACAGTGGGATGAGAGGGTGGTGCTAGTTAGCTTGGTTAGCAAGATGCGTCCGTAATTCACATTAAATGTGATATTAATTCGGATGCTCATTTTGGCTATCGAAAAAAAGGGTTAAAACAAAATGTACTTACCAGAAACAATAAAAAGCTGAAAGTGTCTTTTAGTAAAACTAAACGCTGAACAAGAAGTTTTTAGCTGGCCGTAATGTTACAATTAACTTTCATGAACTGAAATTACACTGTGTAAGGGTTTCTAGATAAAAAATCAGACAGTACCCATAAACAAGTTCAAGGCTAGTTAAATCTACACAGTGCAGTGGATACTATTCAACTCTATCCTGATTGACAGGTCACTGTGGTAGTGACTTGTAGACACGCCTAAAGTACCCTGCTTTATTGTCTATTTTACTCTATATGGGACTATAATTTACAAAATATACATCATGCTGTATTGAAGAAGACTGGAAACTAGCGATTAAGATCATAAACTCATTAGGAAAGTGTTTCTTGAGGTAATAAATCAAGTGAAAAGTAGGGTCATTCTCTCATAGACTCATACTTCTTTTTGCATCCAGTGGAGTCGCCCCTGCCACACATTTTGAAGAAATTAGACTGTGATGGGCCGCCATGGTCTCATTACTTAATGGGCACACTAACTAAAGTGATCAAAGGTGCATTTAATTGCTCATGAATCAAACTTTTCATTTGTCAAAGAAGGAATGTGGTAGTCTTTCTATTAAAAGTTACGTAGTTTAGTCTCACTTTAAAATCAAACCGTCTGTCTTCAGCAGGATTAGCATTAAATGGATTTGCATGAAATCTACTCCTCTTTCTTGTTCCCTGTGCAGGATCGTCAGCTGCAGTCTCATGCGGGAATGCTGAAGTCTTTCAAGGCGGACCTGTTGTACCTTCAACAAAACCTACCAGAGGGAAAGAAAGCCAAAGCCAAGGAGCTGGAGGAGCATCGCGTCAGAGCAGAATACCTGCAGCACGAAGTAATCAAACTGTTCTCATTGAAAGTGTGGGTATACCAGTGTAAAAACAACCTCAAGTGACCCTGGGTCTTTTGTTCAAACCTTTCAGATGTGTCGCTATGAGATCTATATCCACGGGCTGGAGGCCTGGAAGAGCTTGAAAAAGACAGGCGACGATGTGTTGAGCACCACAGACCTGACCCTCTTTGATAAAGCTGTGTGCGGTGACTCTGTGGGGGAGGAAGAGAAGGAGGAAGGAGGGCTGAAAAAGTCCTACTCTAGCCCCTCTCTGGAGCTGGAGCTGGCTCCTCCGACGGTGATCAAAGTCAGACGCAACATCTCAGAAAGACGGACTTATCGCAGAACCATCATCCCCCGATGGAATAAAGAGGCCTGAAACGTGTTTCCCTCAGAGGAATTCATTAATTTCTGCTGTGAGCAGACGGGACTTCAGTCTTTGAGTTTGTGGAAGCACTGAGCAGAGGGGCAGACAAACACCAAAGTCATATGTGAAATCTGCCTCAGCAAGTTATTGTTTTGTTTTAGAGTTTTTCTGCAGTTTTATCTTGTGCACTTTTACAAAAAATAACCCGCAGTCTCTCTCAGGATAGAGAGGGTGGAGGCCTGATCCATATGTTGAGTGGCTCAAAATGTTTGGACTTAATTTATTTTATTTTTTTGAGTTAACTTTAGTCTGTAGTAGTACTAAAAATAGTACAAATTTGCTTACATTTGTTACTTTTCTTTGGGCAAAAATGTGCCTTTAATCTGTAAACCACTAGAGGGGGCTGTAGTACAGTACATCTCTGAGTCAATGGACGTTTGTTTTTCAAGAATCCGAATTGCACTTTTATTGTTTTTAATATTGTGTATGAAAAGAATTCATGATGTTGACGTCACTTACATATTTTTTCCAAATGAAGGGTTAATTTCCAAAATGTTATGAAGTGTTTTCTCTTTGAGGGAAAAATAAAATGTTACTTGATTTTATCATTAAATATGGGTGAGGCTGTTTATGGATGCTTTTTGTATGAGGGCCTGCAATTCAGTTGTTGTCTCGATGCAACAATTAGTAGAAATTCGACATTTGCTCCACAGTCACTGGTTCTGTGAACTGTAACGTCAGATACAAACTTTTTCTCTGCTATAACAAGATGAGTTGTAAAACTAAAAGATGCAACAATAAGATCACACGTATGTGCAATGTGATGAAGCATGCACAGTAAAGTAAGAGAAAGGTTAGTGTGTGTGTGTGTGTGTGTTTCTGACCACTGTACTATATATATTGCATTTTTTCTTTAAGCTTGCTTTTAGCTAGAGAAAGTACACATTCTAATCTCAAACATGGTTTATTTTTTGGATAAAATTCTCTGTTTTCATACATAACTGTTAGCACAAATAGGAAGAAGGCTTTTTAAATATTGATCACAGGGCCACAGTGAGTGTTGACTGATCAAACTTATAGATGAACTCAGAGTTAAATCGACCTGGAGATCCAGTGGTCTTAGAAAAGTATGATAATAATTTTACAGTCACTTTTTTCAAATACTGCATGTCTAAAGTTGATTGAAGTTGATGATTCTCCTCACGTGTCACCTCAACTACAAACAACAAAACAAAAGGTAGACTAGGCCTGCCTGTGTTTGTGTGTGTGTGTGTATGTGTGATCGCTCTCAGTGGCACGGGCCCAATTTTGTTCTCTTTCAGCCTGACATGTCAAGCAGTGGTTCACTTGGGGCAGTCAACAATAAGAGCAGGATGTCTGGAATCAAGCCCCCCCTCCCCCCAACTCCAAACACACATACACTCTTCACACAGGAATGAGATGCAACAATAGAAAATGCAATGAAAATTATACACAATACAGACGGGGACACGCCGTCCTGTCCGAATCGGATCACGACACGAGACAAGCGGACGTTTTGCTAGAGCTGAACTTCGTCTTGTGGATTTTTCGGACGTCATCTGTGGTGCTTAGTTAACGTGATAATGCTCAACTTCTTGTTCTTTGAATGGAAGCAATCTCCATTCATTCACAGGAATGACAACAGCTCATTAAGATAAAGTCAGATTCTGCAGATGGGGGTGACTGATGTCCCTCATGAGTGACAGGGGCTCGGGGCCATCACAACACCTTGAGGGGCGGCCTGACACGCTGAAAGGCGACGCCATCTCAGCTAACCTACATACTCTCGGGCCTGTGACGAAATGTTACAGAAAGGGGGCAGCCATTAGCGCCACTTGTTTTTCAGATCAAATTGAAATGTTTAATCTGTGCTAAAGGTGCTCGTTTGGACGCTGGCGTCGCAGAGGAGCTCTCGACCAAAAGCTCTCCTCACATGGCCTGTGGACCATGACTTCAGCGGCGGTGGTGGCCTTGTTTTGTGAGTGCCATCTCTCTCCACCTCTCCAACAACAATAATGACCGGCTGGAGCAGCAGGGGCTGCATTAGCTGCTGGGTTCAGAGGGCATCTTTCCCAAGGAGTTGGCCTGTTTTTGTTCCATCTGCGCCACTCAATTCTCGTGCTTTGTGCGACTCAGTCAGGCCTGGGTGGGTAATTAAAAAGGCAAGAGCTCAAGTTGTGGTCATTAGGGGCTTGTCCAGCATGGGACAAAAAAAAAGACCCCGACATGTAAGGTCACTTCTGCCCTTTTCTTTTCCACTTTCCACCCCCCCACACCTCAAACATACAATGTTGCTTTGATGTTGCTCAACATCCACAATGGCTCTGCAATAATCAGTAAATATAAGCCACAAACACCTGCAAACACTGCCAGAAAACATAAACTGTACTGTAAACACTCACATTCATCCCTGGGATTTTTTTTTTTTCTGCCCTCGATGCTCCTCCTGACGCATATTCTCCATCTGCTGCTGACGCCTTGCACGCTCTACTTGTTACTTTTTATCTCCTATCTGCACTAACACTTGATTTCTCCCACTCTGGCTGTTGGAAAAACATTTTCTTTTTGTCTCCCACTCGGCATCCTCCCCCTCCTCTGTTTCTCTGTCTCCATCCATTCGCTCTTGACTGCTGCCGTTGTGGTTTTTCTTTCTCCGTCCAGGGCCCTTGAAGTCTCTCTGTCATCCTTGCAGGGGTTTTGTTTTTCCACTGAGACTCCATTCAACTCTTTCACTGAGTTGTTAACTTATGACTCTCTTCCTCTTCTGTCCTGCTCTTATCCAGCACACTCGTGTACTTTCTGACCGTTGACTGCAGAGAGCCAAACACACTCAATATATTCGGTTTTCATATGAGTGTAAATTTCAGTGGGAGGTGATATTCTTTTATTGCTGTAACTTGATTTGAAAGAAATGGGAGGCACTAAAGAAAAACATCTTACTTGCCTTTTTTTTCTCCCAGACCGCACTCATTAGTGCGGCTTTTCTCAGGGCCCGACATTTTCATTTTATTTGCCAATCAGACCCAAACATGAATCACCCTTTTGATTTCACCAGACCCAACCCTTCATAGCCCCCCTTTAACAAATGCTTTTTGTAGGAAAGGAGCCTCTCATTGAGAGAGTTATAGCAAGTGCCTTGCTTAAGGGCATTTCAACGCATGACCTCTTTTTGCCCTCTCTTCTTCCACACACACTCCTGCCTCTGACAACACTCCTCGGGCACAGACTCGGTGGCTTTTAAGATGCAGAACAAACATTGCGGATGGGATCTTAAAGCCGGCGCTCCATGGGTCAATGCAACGTACAGAGCGGAGCAAGAATGTCTGTGAACTAATCCCCTCCATCTTATCTCGTTTCATCTTTCAGCTCATAGGAATTAGTTTTAACTGTAGCACTCAATCCAAGTCTATCAATGTTTGAATCAATTCTTTTTTCTGATTGATAATCTTTAGTCTACTGTGCAATTCAAGGATAAGACAACATTATGGAGATATGTATGTGATGTTGAATGAGCTATTTGTCAGCTGCGTGTTTGACTCCCCCGGCCTCCACAGGTCAACTCTCTCCCTCGGGGCAGTACCTGATACCTGGCAGATTTTATCCACCTCGGTTTGTGTGTAGTGTTGAATGTGTGTGTGCTGTGTGTGCTTTGAAAGGTGTGTTTTTCTTGATGTCTTCCAGTCAATGGTAGCTTCCTTCCTTCAGGGCCTGTGTGTTGTTTAATAGGCTGGTAGGACACAGGGCACCTGTGTTTCCTTCCTCCGCCTGTTCCTGCACAGAAACACCCTCTGTTTGACCGCGTTGCTCTGTTTGACTGGCACATTTGTTCTAGATTCATTATGAATAAAGGTGGAGGAGAGTAGATAGCTTCTTGAAATACAAGGACGGTGTTGTCATTTGAAGTCCGCACAGGTGGTCTGAGGCCTTTGGATGGCAAGGTCGTCCAGTTGATCCAGAATGAAATATCTCAACCTTTACTGGATGGATTGGCACAACATTTTGCACAGACATTCATGGATCCAAGAGGATGAATTCTACTGACTTTGGTAAATAAATAATGAGGTTGACACTTGTGGTTTTTAGTGAAATGTCTTGACAGTTATTGGATGTTGAACTTAATGATTAATTTTTGGTTGCGGAAACAGAAGACGTTGAAGCACCAACTTACTTAGTTATTTTACATTATATAGATATTAGATATATTAGATATTTTTTGGTTAGACTATTTTAAATTGTCATGACAACAACTGATTACAACTTTGATTATCCCTTAACCTTTCATCTGGTTATCCTGGCGTCAAAATTGTGTCTAATACTTCACTACAATACCAGCGAAACTAATGACAATATCTTCTGCCCAACTGTACTTTCTGTTTATGACTTTTCATATTGGACATGGCTCCACCATAGACTGTATAAAAGAAGTGGACGTACCCACTGTGACTTCCCTCGGTGGTTTGTGGACTACCATTCTGAAGCCTCAAGCTTGGCATTTTGGCCATCGCCATCTTGTTTTTTTGGACCCAGACAAGACCATATTTGAATGAGAGGGTGGTGCTAGCTAGCTTGGTTAGGTGCAGCCGTAATTCACTTTAACTATGATATTAATTAAAAGTGAAAAAACAGGCCTAAAACAGGCCTAAAATAAAATGTACTTACCAGAAAAACAGAACAGCTGACTCCTTAGAGTGTCTTTTAGTACAACCGAGCAATGAACAAGACATCTTTAGGTGACCAAAATGTGTGAACGTGTCAATGTTCTTAGATGAAAACACAGACAGGACCCAAAAACACGTTCATGGGTAGTTAAATATACACAGTGCAGTGGATACAATTCCCTTCTATCCTGATTAACAGGTCGCCATGGTAGTGACTGATTAATCCCAAGGTAGCCACACCCTAAAGCATACCCTGATTTATCATCTATTTTATTCTAAATGGAACCATAATTTACAAAATGAATATCATGCTGTATTGAAGAAGATGTGAAACTAGCGATTGAGACCATAAATGCATTCAGAAAGTGTTTCCTGATGTAATAAATCAAGTGAGAAAGTCACTTTGTCATAGACTCCAGCGCAAACAGACCTTTTTTCAACCAGTGGATTCGCCCCTTTCTGGCCTTTATGAAGAATGCAGGTTTAAGGCACTCCCACATTGGCTTCACTTTTCAGACCCGGAGGTTGCTGCTTGGGCTCTACATAAGAAAAGTGACGGAAGTAGTTTTGTAAAGAAATGTACAAAAATTGTCGGACACAGTTCCCACAATTCCAATGTCAGGATGGCTTAGGGAGGGGATTTCAGATGGTGTTCGATTATCAGGGACCTCTTTAATCATACTTTGAGCCAAGTGAGAATGAGAAGTTGGCATTAGTCGACACAGCAGAATCAAAATCTCATACTGTGACAGGGCTGCAAAATATCTGTGAAAGACTCAAATAAAAGATGTAAAAGACGACAAATGGTTCAGAATTATCAGCCAGGCTTCCTCCAAAACAATTCATCAACAAGGTGATGGGTTCACTCACACAATCTGGGTTTTCTCGAGGGCCACAAAGAAGCCTGAACCGGGCGGGGCAGACACAGCAGGGCTGCCATTCACAGTTTAAAACAACAACGTGTTCTGCAGCTCATTTGGACGGACAAATTCTGTCAGCCTACATAATACTTATTTGCCAGGCTGAATTGGTTGGCCAGTGTCTCGGGCCCAGAGATAAGTGGAGAACTTTCCAGATGACTGGCGCAGGACAACCCCGGCCCGTCATCCCACTGATTGCCACACACTCCTCTGCTGCCTTTTTGGCAGCAATTTCTCCAGGGGCCCCTATTCTGTCTTTGAGTTTGTCCCCATAATGGTAATGGGGCACATGTCTTCTCTTCCACACAGACACACACAGAGTTAAATCACACAACACACACATAGATAGACATTCTTGCTCTCTTGTCTCTCTATCACACACACACACACGCATGCACGCACGCACGCACGCACGCACACACACACACACACACACACACACACACACACAGACACAGTGTTAAATGTAGTAAGTCCCAGTCGCCCCGTCCTGCCAGCTTTGTCTGCCCTCAGCTGTTCCGGCCCGGTGCCTGTATTGTGCTGCCGGGCTCATTACCAGAATCACTGTGGCCCGAAACCTCCTTACTAATAGGCCCATAGAGAGACAGAGAGGAGTTATTTTTGCTGTGGCTTGAGTGTAGCTCTATAATGTTCTGTTTGTCTTTTGGCAGGGAGACTGTTAATGTTTAGCGCTTGCTGCTGTTATTTCTCTGGCCGGACATCAGCTAGCTGAGGAATTTGAATTTGGGTTCAGTGAAAAGGTTTGCCTTGTCCCTGTGAAGCACGTTGTCTTAAAAGCTCCTCTGTATGTATGAGTGTATATGGATGTGGGTGCGTGTTTCTGCATGCCTGAGCAAGGAACTGGAAAGAATAAGTGTCCTGTCAGTTGATGGGCTGTCTGAAGTGGGCCAGGCCACTTGGACAACAATGGGATGAAGTGCAGCTATTGTTTAAAGTTTACAGGGCGGTACACGGTGTATACAGTAGTGCGGCTGCAGGAGAGGGATACAAAGAGAGGGGTGTAAAGAGGTGAGTCAGGAAAATGGTGAAATGTGAGAAGAAGGGAGGCTTGGAGGGACAGAGAGAAAGAGAAGTGCATACTGTAAACAGAAAGACGTCAGGGCTGATCTTCATCAGCAGACAGATAACAATATGACTGAACTGATATTGAGGACTTTAAGTGATTGTCTCAGAAGTCAGACAAAAGCCTTTATACTGTCTGATTCAAGAGTTATGTAATTAGGTTTGAGGGTTTCTTTAATGGTGAATTAGGCCACGAACCACACAGAAGTTTGTGAACTGCAGAGGTTGCACTGGTCTAATGAGAGCAAACAGCAGCCTCCACAAAAGAGGGTTAAACCCAGCACTGAAACTGAAGCAAGTTTAAGCGCACATTTGTTAACCAGACTGTTTCTAGATATAGTTTCTAGATATAGCCTAATTTTAAAAGATACAAAAACAAAACCAATAAAAGAAGAAAGATTATAAAACATTGTATATATATAAACTTCACATTTATGTATATATATAATAGAAAGGTTTGGCTATAAATATATAATATAAATATATAATGTATAATTACACACATGATGTATTGAGATTATATATATTCTAATCCCATCAAACCACGTGTTTACTTATAAACAGTAAAACGTATAGGCTATTATTATATGTTATTTAGACAGAGGTTTCCGCATCACTCACAGGTATCACTACAATAGTTGCAATATGTGCAATGTGTAACTGTCTGAGCGCACCTGCTTTCACGTGCTGCAGGTCTCGGTACTAGATCGTCATGCGGCCTCCCTCTCCATCATCCTCACGTCGTCCCACGCGGCGGCACCAGGTGGGCCGCGGCACCGCCGAACCGTGGCATCGTTAACGCGCTGCAATTATAAGGGCCGCAAAGAGGGACGAAGTAATTGCTAATAAAACTACATGATGCAGAAAATAAAAAAAGAAATTAAACAGATGCGCGTGTTTTCGGGATCATTGCTTTCGTCCTTTTAAAATGCTGAGAGTTGCAAAAAAATATTCACCATTTCAGCATATGCAGTTGACTTTTAACGTGTTTTTAAGTACCCGGATTTTACTACTACTACTACTACTACTACTACTACTAATAATAATAATAACAACAATAATAATACATATAATAATAATAATAACAATAATAATAATAATAATAATAAAAGTTTAGGACTTCACTTAAGCACTCATTAACATATCAAAATATTAGTTAACCAATTAGGCTATTCTATCTCTTCACTTGTACAAATAATTATTTACAGAAAACATTATTCCTTTGTCAGCTTTCAGTTTGTAAAATCAGAACCATTCTTTAGAAAAGACAACAGTAAAACAGCAAGAAATTTGTCATGCTTTAATTAAAATAATTCTTTAGAAATTCATTATTTACATCTGCAATAATATTAATAACAGTATAAGAAAAAATAGTCACAGTTCTTACCAAACATCATAACATCAGCATGACAACAAACTAAAGTTATCTGACGCAAAACAAATGTATTTCAAGCCTTGTTGGTTTTAGTAGCCATCACCATCGTCCCCCGCCCTCATTGGTCACTCTCTGCGTAAAACTGCTTCACTTCCCCATAAGTAATTCATCATTTACAATATGTACATATTGCTAGACAAATGCATTAATTGTTTTTGAGGGGCATATGAGGGCATTTTGTTGCAACTGTGTCACCTTTTACTCTATTTTCACTATGGGAACGCTCTTTAAAAAAATCTCTGAATTTACAGTGAAAACAAGTCACAAAATGAATTTGCAAGCAGACACTGATCACAAAAAGGAATTCATTTAGTGATGATGGGACAAAAACATTGTAAACAAAAGCAGGCATAGTTCAGTATAAGAAGTTGCATATCCGTATTCACTGGATCAGTGGAGTCAAGTTGCAGATGTGCGAAAAATTAAGTCTTTGGCCAAAACAGCGTTAAAGAGCTCTATATACTGAAGATATGCACCTTGATGTGAGATGTTGGGCTGAGTCTCTGGAAACAGGCTCTAGGTTGGAGTTCAGTGTTAGCAATGTGTAAACGTGCATGAGTCAGAGTTACCCTGGGCAACGGTATCAGTACTGACAAATAAATAACTGGTGAGTAGTAGACCATGAGAGGATATAAAAACAAACAAATGTGTTGCTGGTTCATCAGCAGAGTCTCAAGTTCACATCCAGTTTTGACTTTCATGCCTTGGTCCATGGTCAGATGTGTGTCAGCTGATGTAATGTTCTCCGGTCTTGGCCCCGGGTCGAGTCAGGTCCAGTACCAGCGCAGAGTCTGTCCATGCAGCAGGGACTAGAGGTGGTCGTAGGCGGCTGCGGAGGGGGGAGCGGTGCGGGAGGCCGAGCTGTAATAATAGGGTGAACCTGCGGGGGGAGACACAGATGGAGGCCTTCAGAAGTGGAAGGTGTTGGGGGTGGGGAGGTGGATCGGACTTGACTCCTTGATCTATCTTATCCAAGGTTTTACTGCACATGGTTGAGCTGAAAGTCTGAGCAGCTCGGGCTGTTTGTGCTGTGAGTGAATTGTGTCTGAACCCCCTCACGTGAAGATAAGAGAAATGCAGGACTTTCTTTTTCTAGCCAGGATAGAACCCAAATGGCTCTGAGCTTCTGTAAAAACAAGCTTCTGGGCATATATACACCAGTCCCATGTCAATTCATAGTCAATATACCATTCATCCAAATAGGAGTTTTTTGAACTTGCCTAGCATATTTATTTGTATATGATTTTTAAACCCAGTGTTTAATTTCACCACTATCTCTCTGCTAATGACATAATGTGATTCAGATTTCATTTTCTCAGACAAAAAGATCTGAGGTTTGTCCCCAAGGTCAGGTGGAATATGGAACTGATGTGGTGACACTTATATTTGAAGGCTTGATCTACTGTGGCTTTGACTGTACCTTGTTAGTATGTCGCTTTGGGCAAAGGTGTCTGCCAAATGAACAAATGTAAATGTAATGATGGATGAGCAGAGATGGAAAAGAATGGCATCAAGCTTCCTGGAAAAGTGTGTAAAAGGAATTTAAATTTGATGTATCGCTTGTTTGATTCATAGTCTTCATGATCTCAGCAATGACAGGGCAATATACCATTCATCCAAATAGGAGTTTTTTGAATTGTAATTGTAATTGTGTTGTAAACATTGTAAATTACTCCCCTGCTTATCATCTTCTTTGTTTGTTTGTTTGAGCCTTTTTGCTGTAGAAAATCTTTTTTTAAATATTGTTTCATCTGTAGTCTGATTTTATATTGTTTTGCCTGTAGCTTTTGTGCCGCAAAAGAGCTTTACAAACTTATTTGGGACTTTAACTAATTAAATAAAGGTTAAATAAGTGAAATTTTTTAATTAAGGTGGAGCACAGAGCCGTAGGTAAACCCTGGTTAATAATGTCATTATATGACTTAGGCAGTTTGCATGCCACTTCCTGGTGAGTCTCTCCTCTTTCCTACAGCACTGAAAACCATTTCAAACATCTAAATAATTTGTCTTTTGTTTGTGAAGGTCACAATTATTAAGGCAAATCTAAACATATCCCGAGGTAACAGAAATGTATACAGCACAGTACTCTTGGTGTGTTCCCACTCACCCAGTATGCTGGAGTTGGTGAACCTCCAGGCTTCACTGTAGGAGGTGTAGGGCGAATGGCTGTAGGTCTGACCTGTGTAGTCTGCACCTGCTGCAAGAAAGTAAAAGACATCATCAAACACTCACTCCCAGATAAAACACGCAATACAAAAAAGAAAACATTCCTTATTAACAGGCAAAGCTAATACGTCGCCAGGAGCTGTACAGAGTGGAGTTGTTTGTGTGTGTGTGCCAGCATCTGCTCAGCCTTAGCACATAATTCACCAACAGTTAGTGCGGCCTGTAAACCATTAATCTGTGGTGCAGGTGGATGGCTGAGGGTAAAATCCCTCGGCCCAGTGGTGCGTGCATGCAGCTAGCCTCTACGCCCTCTCTCCTCGGCGCCCGGCCCCTCGCATCACTCAACCTCTGCCCTCTGAAATGCCCTCCGCCTCCTTCTCCTCTTGCCGTCCTACACTTCCTGCTTTAGCCTCTCTGGCACTCCTCTTTCTTTCTTTTCTCTTTTTTTAACATTCCAATATCTAATTGGTAATTATGTTGGCTGGAATGAATCCCTGAGCCCCCCACCCCAACCCCCCCTCCACCTCCTCCTGTCCTAACCCCCCCACTTTTACTCAGTAATTGTGTAGCAACGCTTCCTCACAGCAAGCCCACCAGAAAAATAATAAATCAGACCCTCTCATTTCGCGCTTCGGAGGGCAGACTTCAAATAAAAAAAGGCACATCACACACACACTCCCTTTCTCTCTCTCTCACGTCGTATGCAGGCATCCTGACGTACACACACACACACACACACACACACACACACACACACACACATCACAAAGACCCTCCTCCTCTTTGCTCATACCCAGACTTTACACCCCCTCAGCCCACCCTGCATCTCCCTCCCGGGCCCCCTGGTTCCCATGGCGATGTGTGGTCAGAGGTGTCTGGGTGGGGGGTGTGGGCAGCAAGGCGGAACCCCCAGCCTGCTCCCTGTACCCCCTGGGCCCATGTGCACCCGCGCGCACACACCCACACCCAAACGCACGCACAAGCACGCACGCACACACACACACACACACACACACACACACACTATACAGTTCACCCTGGCAAGACTACTCATTGACTCTACCCGTCTTCCTGTTAATCTACAGGCCTTCATCCCTTCCTCTCTTTCTCTTTATTCCTTCTCTGCCTGCCGTCATCATCCTCCCTTCTCCGTCTACCTGTCTTACTCATTTGGTGTCATTTGATTTCTGTTTCCTACCTAATTCCTAAAGTCAAAACTGCGCCCTACCTGCAACCATGCCCGTGATGGCGGAGGAGGAGTATCCTGACTGGGCAGGGGATGGGATGTGAGGTGGGTAGCCTGGCAAGGTGGAGCTCACCATGTCACGACCTAAAAAAACACACACACCTTTAACGTCAAGATAGAAGTTGAAGTTACTATTTTACATTTGTTTCAGCTACAAGACGTTCTGGTTTTAGGTTTGTCTTTGCTGCAGAGAAAAAACATGAAAACATTTCGTTAACAAATTGATAAGTTGACAGTCAGAACAATTTGAATTTTTTTTTTGAGAAAAAATGCCAAAAATTCACAGCTTTCAGCTACTCGGAGGTAAGTATTTTCTGCTTTTCTTTGTCTTCTATGATCTAGGACTTTCTTGCTGTGAGGCCACAGTGCTATCCACCGTTCCACCGGGCCACTGTGCCGCCCCATTCTCCCCATTTCTCATAATTTTCGGACAATTCAAAGACAAAACTAATTAACTGAAAGTGGATCAAATAACAGCAGTTTAATCAGTAATGAAAAAAATCTTTAGTTCCAGCCTTACACTAATGGTCCCTTGAGAAAAGTTGCACATGACAAATGTGTGAACATGAATGAGATGGATGCCGGCATTACCTGAGATGATGGACTGACTGCCGAACTGCCCGTACACTGGTGCATGATGGGAGAATGAGTTGAAGGCGTTGGGGAAATGGTTGGAGTTGCTGCAGCTGCTGCTGACAGAAACGGGCTTCTGCAGCGCCTGCAGTTCCACGAACGCCAGGTTGGACGCTGCCATGTTTGGGGAGGGGCTCGTGCTGGTTACTTCTGGGGACATTTCCTGTTTTAGACAGAGCGGCAGGGACTGTAGGGGCTCTGAGGTGGAGACAGCCAGTGTGCAGTGGTGAGCGGGGTGCAGGCGGGTGAGAAAATGAAAACAAATGGTGAACATGAGGGGAACTATGAATGCACAACAATAAAAGTGAGTGAAAATGTCAAAAACAAACAAAGAGTGAGTGGCTTCAGGATACAGATGCACTGTTGTGTGTTGTAGGAGTCAGCACGCGGGTCAAAGGTACATCATAACATTAAGAGTCTCACCAGTCACCATGGTGTAGCTCTGGTGCGCAGTCAGATTCCGTCCAATGGCAGAGCTGGATGTTGAGAGGCTGGTCTTTGCCTCGTCTAGACTGCCATTGATGAGGGATAGCGGGTACAAAGTCTGCAGATGATGAACAGGGATTAGCTATTGATGTAAAGTGTGCATATGTATGAGAAGGAGCAAACATGCATGTGTGCAAGCCATAAAACAAAGGGTTTTATTTTTTTCAATTTACAGTTTGAAATTGTCGAGAAAGAAATCTTAAATGTAAAGAAAATATGAAAACAAGACCAAGGACAGCAGATCTAGCAATCACTGTGTTCACTTTGCATTTATTCCTTATATAGACTTTCTGAGTGGTGCTTCAGTGCATATCAAACATAACACCTGTTTGTACCTGCTCTGTCTTGCTGCTGGAGGCGGAGCCGAATGAGTCCGGCGGATAGTGGTGCCGATCAAACCCACAGTCCAGATGCTGCGTGGCCGCGGAGAAGTGATCCACCCTCATCTGTTTCCTTGGGACGCCTCCGCTACCCTGAGAGTCCACGCTGTGCCGACAACTCTCCTGATCACCTGAGAGGCACCGAGGGAGGGCGGATGGTTAATGAACAGACAGTTCACATGTGATATGTATGGTGAAAGTGCAAATCAAACTCCTCAGACAAAGTATAAAAAAATACAGAGGATTGAACTGTTTTATTACCTAAATGTTAAAATGCTGAAATGACTCTCAACCGTTTCACCTTACACTCACAATAGCTTTCCAAACATAATGTGGGTGCAATATAAAAGAATGGGTGTCAGGATTTTGTAGATTAGGTTTATTTTTTAAGAGTGTGAATGGGCTGTTTTTTTACACTTTCAACTCCAGCAGGCCTCAAACTGAGCAGATTTTCTTTCATGTATCCCTTCATTGCTCTTACTTTGATGCCTCTCAGCCTGTTCCCCCTTGTAAATGAATTTCAGGTAAAGTAAAGGTCGAATAAGTTATTAAATAAAGGTGTTTTTCAGCTTTTCCAGATATTTTGAAGTGAGTGACTTCAAGGCAGGATGCAAATATACTTTCAGAAACTAAACATTAACCTGGAATAAAGTTGAATGTAAGTGCTTGTGTTTGGAAACGACTTCAGTATGCTCCAAAAACTAGCAGAAAAAAACAAGATCTGATGGGCTTCCTCCCATGAACCACCACAATAAAACAAAAGTATGCCGAAGTGTGGTGTCTCGTTTATTTGATGTAATTCTTACTGTCATCGTGGCTCCTCTTGCCCTCGGCGCTGGGTTGGGGGATACCCAACAAGCCACTGATGGAGTAGGTGGAGCCCAAAGAGTCCGACTGTGGAGACTCGGGAGGGGTGACTGCCGAGCTGGGGACTGAGAGAGAGAAACGCAGACACAGCGGACATGATACTGTACATCTCACTAGTCCTGTTAGGACAAGGTCATGACCTGAATCCTACACAACGATGAGGATGTTCTTTAATCTTTAACCTTAATCCTTCGCCATCACATGATAATGCTTGGTGATACAGATGGTGACATGGCCTCCATTGCGCGTGTGTGCACGACTTACTTAAAGTTTGCCCCGGACTCAGGCCTTTTCCATCCAGAGGCAGATTGAACGGCTGCTGGACCTTTGTTCGAATTATTCTGAAGCAAAAAGAGCGAGCATTAATTTTACATTTAACAGTCTCTTTAATTGTTGTTTGGTGGGTGTAAGCATCGCCATAAAGACAGCATATCAATTTTGAAGGAAGATGCAGTTTCTCTTGTCTGGGAAATATTTGCTTCATTTCCTAAAACATCTTTAGTAGATGTTGGTTTCATGACCCTCAAAAATGCACTCAATCTTACTCATCCATCATCCAAGAAGCCAGATGTCTAAATACCGCGGAGCCACAGTGGCATATCAGTGCCTCTAACATGGTCTCATTCATAATTCAGTTTGTCACCTGTTAATGGAGCTCACGCTGGGCACCGTGTCACTGTCACACACTCCCTCTGCCAGCAGTCTGTCCCTGATTTCCCAGGCGAACATGGTGGGATTCTGCCTCTTGTACTCTGCGATTTTGTCCACAACCTTCGGGGTGGCCACCTTGGGCTTAGAGCCGCCGATCACGCCAGGCTTGATGCTGCCTGTCTCGTAGTAACTGGAAGACAGATGGAAGACAAGGAGGGTGTTGAGGATTGATTGTGTGTATGGGACCTTTAGTTTTGATTAAATCAAATAAAGGTTTTCAGTCATTACTTCAAGCTTGGCTGTCAGACAAACACCAAAGTGTCCCGGATAAGTAAACAGAGGTCAAAGAATACGAACAAGGCTGATTAACAGTAACAGGAAGTGGAGTAAGGTGCTTGTTGACGTTCTTACCGTCCCAGGATCTTGCTGACGCAGCCGTGGCTGACTCTGAGCTGCCGCGAGATGTCACAGGGCCGAACCCCCTGGTGGGCCATGTCCACGATGCGTTGCCGGATCACCTCCGGAAGCGGGCGTCCATTAACAAACATTCCACCTAGTTGGTTAAGACCCCCATGACCTGGGGGAGGAGGGGGGATGAACACTCATAAATGTCATGGAACCTAAGACATGCTAACCTCAACCACACACACACACTTTTGAGGGCACTGCAGACTCAGACTAACCACAGCGAAGACAGAAAACATTTTAGCAGTGAAACTAAACCAAGGAGTCCAATTTAGATCCCTAAAAGTTGTCCCTATGGTAAAACATGATGAGTGGATAAGTTACACACACACGACAGAGTTTCTGTCTGTATGAAAAAGCATGTTTAAGTCATCAACTCATTCAATGTTACAAGTGATAATGAAAAAAAGCTTAGAATACATTACTGCATTACTTGCTTTAGCCTCAGGGATCAAAAACAGTAAAGAAAGAAAATTATTTAACTTTCCCAAACAGAGTACTATGTGGTCTCTGAAAAGCTGACGAGCCACTTTGATTCTTTTAAAAGTGACCCGCAACGTTTATCATTGATTGTCTAACAGGCTGAAGGTCAAATGTGTCTTGATAAATTATAGCAGTGCCGGTGTTGTCTGGACTGTAATGAAGTTTTACATTAAAACAGTGGAGGACACAGGAGACGATGAAAGCAGCGAGAAGAAACAAACCTTCACCACAATCAGGGGCTGTGAGTAGTGGATGAAAGATTGTGGCATTCCTGCTTCAGAGTTGATTTATTTGCATTTACTTATTTACTTGTCTAAACTGTTCAGTGAATCCATAAGATTAAACTTTCGTATTGTTATATTGTACCCGTTTAACTGTACCCAACAGCAAAGCTCATCCTTTTAAATTGATGGTTGTTTGATTACTTACAGGCTAATCACCTCCTTATGATTAATACCTGCAGGCCTATTCTCACAATTCTCATTTATTTGCCACTAATTTGTTTTGAGGGCTGTGACATGAGGCCCAGTGGGCTTCAGTGACGGTGACTCTCTTGTTGCATTGTCCTTGGAAATGACGATAGGGAAACATGTCATGTAAATGTCTGTGTGGTGATCCTAATCATTTGAACACAGAAACATATCATACACAGAAACAGAAATTTAAATAATTAAGAAATACATGGAATCACTCCACATTTTTTGTATTATCAGTCTTTTTAAATATATAAATAATGTTTAACAATATTTTTACATCATACTTGACCTTTCCTCTGGAATTTATAAGAAATGATGGCACAGTGCTTATTTTTATTCATGTATAAATATGTTTTCTACAACATAAGAAGCTACTTTGGTATCCTGCAATATACTGCTAATACATTTTATATATCATTTTATTATTAATAACATGTGGAGCTGATAGTGTTTTATTGCTAATGTGATGTCGTTTTGATATTAGTGTATTTAGCCTATTTGTACCTATGCTGAAAATATTGTGAATAACAAAAAGCAACACTGTTAATGTCTTAAATTTGATTTTCAGAAATATAAATTATTAGGCAAACATTTGTAACATATTGCAACAATACATTGGTCTAAATGATATCCAGAGATGTTTAAAATTCTGCTCCTGCAAAATAACCTACAAAAATATATTTTTCCCCCCGGTAAACACCAACAGACAAAGCGCTCGTTGCGTTTCACCGCCATCCTCCACTATCTTCTCTACAGGCTGCACGGTGGTGACTCTGCAAGAACACCATTGCTTTTAATTTAACCCATTGAGACGCTTCTTTTTCTCAGCCTTTTCCCAGCTTTCATTTCCACATCAAACAGCCGGACGAGGCCGACGAGGGGGAGGGAGGGAGCCTCTATTAACGCTGCCAGCGGAGTGTGGAAAAAAATCTCCCCGCCAAGCTTCATCAACCTGCAGGATATTAAAGCGGAGCAGACCCGGGGGGCGGTGAGCACGCACGCGCGCATGGCTTACAGACCCCGCGTGCACACCCAAAAACATGAAAACAAAGCGCGAGTTCATTACGAAAACACTTAGATGTCCTATATATAGATAGATATATAGAAACAAACCGTTAGCCTCCTGCTGCTCCATGATTGACCCAACTGTAGTGGCTCTGACCAGGGGAGGATTGCTCTAAATTTAAATTTGACAGCTTTAAGTGCCATCCAATTAACTTCCATAATATCCTGCACTACAACCAGAGAAAAAAACAACAAAACAATTCATTCTCTCAAGAATCACACTGAGCAGACAAAACACCTCTCTGCATCCCATAGGCCTTCCTTCTCCAACAATGTTTCCAGTGTGTGTCTCATAGCTAATATTAGGCTGGGTGGGACTGACATGCCTTATGTCTAATGAGAGTGCCCTACAGAACTTTATTTTAAATTCTAGTGGAAATCCCAACGTTTCTGAACACACCAGATATACCAGGCCACATTTTGGATAAATGTGTATAAAACCATGCACACTATATGGTGCAGCCATAACCCACATGGAGACATGGGATTGTATATTTAACGCTCATCTAAACATAATAAAGGTTAAATAAAGAGCTGGAACAAGCTGACATAGTAACACTTAACTTTCCCTTATTTAGCCTTTTTAAGCAGTATATAAACATTTAATAAATGGTTTATAATACACTATAATGTAGTTGTGCAGATATAAGGGCATTTCTGTGTTTCACTATATTATCTGTTTATGCAGCAGCCTCCACTTATTGGTGCCACAGGAGGAGTTACAGCTTTAGACAAATACATAAAAACTTATATCTGCTTACAACTGCAATATGTGCATGTGTTGTGTAAACCATTTAATAAATGTTTGTAAGCTGCCTATGAATGCTAAATATTTTTTCCAAACCTCACAACATGAGAGGAAATAAAAGGGGACGGCTGGAAGTTAATAAGAGAGGTTTTAAAGGTCAGGAAATGCCAAATATGTTTAGCCTAATTGTTCAGTCAGCAGCAGAAGAAGCTTGTGTTGTGTATTTACCTCTTCCACTGTTGGTGGACATATCCCTGAGTATTTGGTCCTTGCTCCACCAGCTGAACGTGACGCTCTCCTCCACGCTGTCCCAGTTAAAGTGTTTTTACTCCCCGCCCTGCCTCGTCTGGCATCAGTGTCACTCCTGAGCGTCACTGTCGACCACACGCTGCAGGAGAACAGTGGTTTGTGAAACAGGCTGTTTGTCATATATGTGGTGCCTCTGAGCTCGTACAGGTCCACTGAGCTGGTGTTTCGCAGTGGCACCCTGTGTGCCTCTACGGGGAAATACAGCTAATAAACTGAATATTGTCTTTAAATCACCTGTACATGAGACAGGTGGTGGACAGTAGAAGAGACTGAGGTCATTTAACATTAAGACTAAATAGAACAGGCCCGTGTAACTGTATTTCTGTAAAAAATACTGTGATTTAATAAGAAGTATTTGTAAAACATGAAAAATTTTCTTCCCCTTCGGCCAATCCAGATGGCTGCTCCTGTTATACATAAAATTCCCCTTCATTAGCCGCTTGGTAATTAGGATTGACTGGTCTCATTAATCACCTTATAATTATTATAACCAGAAAGTGTATTTTATTTTGGGTATTGGACCGAAGAATTGGAGCGTAATATATGTGTAATGATGTAAAGTAGATCTGATGTAAGTGGAAAAAGTTGGAGGAGAGAGAGAATCACTCTTCAGGACTTTGTTTAAATAAATTATTTTATCTTTTGAACAAAAATCTATATTAAATGAAATTAACCAGAATCAAGTCAACATGAATTAAAGGACTTTTCTTAAAGATCTCAAGAGCCTTCTTCATCTCTGATTTGTAAATGGAATTAAAATTAAACAACTCAGATGGAGTGAAGAGATGACACAAATTATTAGAATTTCAAGTCTTAACTAAAAGATGCCAAATCTGTTGTAAATATGTAATTGGCAGTGGTTATTGTCCATACATTGTTTACAGGCTCCATCTGCTCAGCTGCTGCACACCTCTCCACACTTCTGTGTGATCTTCACAGTAATAAGAGCAGAACATTATGTCATATATTAAGTAAAATAAAACAGTGGCAGTACCTTCATTAATGCACATACATGTAGGACTGCTGTTAATTTACATCAACTGCAATTATTGGAATAATAGGTTTTGACAAAAGTGGAAAAGAATGGCATTTATACGCAAAAGATTAATAAAGCCAGTGTTAATGTTACTGTGTGGAACTGTTGATTGTCAAAATGTTAGCATGCTGTTTAAGCTGTCAGGCCCTGCTGGGTGGACAGTTTAAAATTAACCACATAATTAGCAGACTGTCACAGACTGTTAGATATTAGATGTGATGATTGACAATATAAGTTATAATGAAGTTTTTGATTAAACTTATTCTGGGTTTGTGGATAATAACATTTAAGCTGTTACTATTAAATAACTAATCACTTTAGTCTAGCCTAGTATTGTTTTAATTAGCTTTTGTTTTTTGATGTTTGTGTGTGGATCAGCTTAATTGCACTAATCCATTTATTTGACAATGTAGTGTAACATGAAATGCAACTTCAAATTTTTGTTGAATATATCTGTGTTGTTTTTTAATTTTATTGTAGTTGGCTGTGACCATTTGCAATTTGTCTCCAAAAACCTGGATATTTTAATTTCAAACTTTATTGGTACAATACAAAAATTAAAGCAGCTGGCTAGAACCATATTTAAAAATTTTACATTTTAAAACGTGAGGTAAAATAATTGTACTTCTTAAGTTGCTGAAATAAAAATGTAGGGAGCACAATTCTAGAATTAGTCTAATAACAAAACAATATAATAGTTAGTTAATAAATTACTAATTAATGGAAGTTTTGCGAAGAGGTCTGATTTTGGGGGAAAACAAGGCAGGATTAGAAACAAAGTAAGTTTTTACATTTCCCTGATTTTTTTTATGTAACTGTGTAGCTTTCAGTGAGTATAATAACAACTTATCATCCACACGACGTTAATACTAGCATACAACAACTGCTTGTAACTTTTACTTACTGTTTTAATTGTTCCTGTTAATAATGCCAATCAATATTCTCCAGCCTGTAGGTCAACATGAACATATGAACAATATCACTGGCATTTTAAGATCCTAGTTTATGTCTAGATCGTTTATTTTGTGAGGTTTATATCTGACAGTTTCTAAAGGTGAAGGATTTGGATCTTTCGCTTGGCATAAATTATGTCTATAACAGTTGACCCTCGCGCAGCTTCTGTTCGGGAAAGAGATGAGAGGCAATCATGGGCTATTTATAATTCACCGAAAATACAGCCTATAGCCTCTTAACTCGGGCCCAAGCACGAAGGTTCATTTTTTTGGACCAGGTGTGAATGTGCATTGGAGAAAAATATGAGAATTAATCACAATCGTTCAGATATTTCTTTGTGTAACGACGACTGATCATTACTCTTCTTCTTCTTCAAAAAAAACTTTCCCCTTATGTGCACATGGTCACATCTTTACACCCGTATCATAATAAACTGCTACCATTATTATGCCTCATGTTCACCCAAAGTAGCGTGACATTAGCGCACAGTAGGCTACTGTCTCTAATTTTTTTCATTTTTCATTTTTTTTTTTTTGGATCACTGAAGTCTCCTCTGTTACGGTTTTCAGCTCGCTGTGCTGTCAGGACTGCGGATCACTAATTGCTCCCGGTATCAGACACCACACAGGCTAACACAACCAGATAGTGAGGAACTGAAACGAGGGCTTACCTTTCAACGACGCAGCTCAAATAACAGACAATAAAAAACTCGTCCCACAGATATTTAGATATTATCCAAATGATGGGGTCTCTGGTGGTGTGACACGGTGTGTGCCCGGGCTGCTCTTGTGTTGTGCTGTGTGTGCGCTGCCAACTCTCAGCCAGGTTTTATCCAACCGGGGCTGCGCAGAGGACGGAGCCGTGCAGCCATTGGAGGAGTAAAGGAGAGGAAGCAGGAGGTGTGGTTTTATGGAAAACAGAAGAGCACCGCACCCCACCCGGTACCACACACACTCGCGCTTAAAAAAAAGAAAAGAAGTGGATAACTGACCCTGTGTTTTTATTGCATTACTCCCACTGAGTGACTGCGACTGTACGGAGACACTCGTCAAGGAGAGACGGCTTGTTTCCATGCGCCTCCAGCAACAGCCCCACTTTAATTAGACTGTACAGGCATGTGAGTCCGATTCCACTGCGTTCACTCACAATTTAGTACCCAATTTGCTGCCAAGAGTTCCCCCCTTGCAGGTAGGCCTATGGCTACTGCACACCTGACTTGAGGAAAAGGCCGGAAATGTAGCCAGAAAGGTGAACCACTGACCCCAAAGTTATGTTTCAGAACTTTTTTTTTTTTACTGATCACTCATTGGGAAAAATAAGAAAACGGACATAGGACCACTAGAAGAAAAAGCATATTTCGGTGCAAACCAATGACCTTCTGTCCCACACACAGTCCTATAGGCCCAATTCAATAGGAGATGAATGTGATTCTTATCGCCAAATAATTGTCCTTTCCAAGCGCAGTGAATTCGGGTTTTTAATTAAAGGAGGCATTTCCCTTTAAAATCTTTAGCGATCTTTCTTTTCTTTTCCGTAAATGTATTTGTCCTGTAAAAAACAAAACAAAACAGGTAAATAAGCTATATATTTTTTCTCCTCCTCTGTCTTTTGCTCACAAGGTTAAAATATCTGGAATCATGAAATAATAAAATCTCAACTCAGGTAGCCTAGGTCAAGTCGCACCTGTGAGTGCTCCAGGGCGTTTTTTGTAAAGTTTGGGCTTAATTATTTTCTTTTTGGATCTAATGGCACTGGAGTCTGAAAAATAATCACACAAAAGTCGATAGATAACATTTGAGTCTATTGGTAGCCTACTATTTCACAGCTCATCTTGGTCTTTTACTGACATTCATCTTGAAAAATAAATTAGGCATAGATTAAACAGAGGGTTATTGGCCAGATAACAAGGAGTAATAAAATGAAATAAAACACAAACTAATTTAGAGCCTATATATGCAACAACGGTAATGCTACCTCCAGACGCTGCATAAAGAAACATTATAAAGAGATTTCTGCACAAAAACAAATTTCTTGCAGGCATGCAAACGACGAAGAGTTGACTTTCTACACCATGCGTATAACAGGGCTCGTAAGCGCGTGATGTCACACCATAGTGTCAGGATATAGTTAAAACGCTATTAATGTTGTTCTCACGAGCCTGTAGAACAAACACAACACCCCTTAATGACAACCACTCGCGGCACCACGTCGCCTGTCTCATATGAAAGCAGGTTTAGCCATATGGACTTTTTTTAGGGGAAGTGATCTGTTAATAAGATTTTAAGTAGCCTAAATTATTTTGCCTGGAGAAAAGGTTGATCTGCGAGAATTAATTCATACTTTTATGTAGGCTACATGTAGCCTATTCAGATTCACGACAGGTTTACAGCAAGAAAAAGGGGAACCAAAATTCCGGAAGAGGCGACCTCAGTCCTTATCTCGTCAGTTTGTGATTGAAGTCCTTCATTCCTCTGCCACCATACATCAGTGCCGCTGCAGGACAATGGAGCGACTGTTTTTAAATAAATAAAACTGCCAAAAGACTAAAGGGAATCATAACATTAGCTGGAAACAGAGACAGTCCTCTGTAAAGTGACCAGAGCGCAGAGAAAATGACAAGTGCCCGCAGGGAGAAGAAGTGGCAGAGGAGAGAGAGAGGGGTGACAGGGAGTTTAACAAGGGATTAAAACACACAGACACACAAACAGATTGGTATCTATCAGATGATACTGTGAATTAAAATAGTGCTTAATTATATGGGCCCACTTGCCGAGGGGCAGCAGTCACACACGCCCTAAATCCGGACTCTCATAACGCATATTTAGAAAAGATCCCACTGGAGCATCTTCGTGTTTTCCTCAAGCCTCGCCTCAAACCGTTCTCATACAGTAGGCTACTGGTTATACTGACAGGATGCTGTCAGATACCGTCTAGGCTACAACCGCTGTAACTATAGTCGTGGTTAATTCTTAAAGCTAAATGCCACCAACACCTACAGCTCATAACGTAGGCTCCCTGTAGTTTGGACTGCAGAAACACACTCAGAGAAATCCAAGAAGACTCAGGCTACAGAAAGACTTAATTAAAATTATAGTTAGACCTATTCTTGGCTTTGTAGTGAATATAATATTTATTTTCATACAAAATAAAAGTGTAAAATACATTATAGGTCTGACAACTTACCATCTCCTGACTGATAAAAAAGACAATTGCAATTGTGCTGTATATGGCCTTGCCAACGATGCTGTTCATCCCAAGAAACAGGTGATTTTTAAATATTCTTTTCTATAGGCTACATATTTTTACAGGCCTATACTGCTGAGAAATGTGGTACAATTAAAGACTGTGTTGATGCTGACAGTGTGCAAAAATAATTTTAAAAAGGTAGGTTACAAAGGATAAAAACGCTTTGCTAAAATATAGTTTGCATGTATATAGGCTGACACATTTACTGTGTTTAACTTTGATGGAAAATTAGGGCTGTAATTCTAACTCAACCTCTCAAACCTGAGATGCAGTTTTCTGGATTTTTTTCTGCATCTCACCTCATGTCACTCAAAATGAACAATATTCAGTGCAGCTAAATTACTTCCCAGAAAGATTCATAAAAGACACCAGATTTCATAAAGCCTCCAACACACACTCACTGACTGTCTTTCAGTATCCGCGTGCACCCTCAAATCTGCAGTCCCATCAGCATCCACACTCTAAAAGTGAGGAGTTAAATATACAACGTTTATTTATTTCCATGTCTCCGGGTGTTTCTTGTTGACGGGTGTTTCTCCGGATTTACTTCTCCGAGCAAAGTCTGTGTCCTTTGCCAAAAAAAAAAAAAGCAGCATAACCTGCGGCGACAGGTGGCAACAAGAGGTGAAGGGAAAAGGTCAGAGCGACCACTTCCGACTGCAGAGGTAAGGGAACATGCAGAACAGTTTTGCTGTTTAGAGATGATGAGATATGTATTTTCAGCTTGATTCTAAACATAGAAGTAATCTAATTTAATAGGCTACAGCACGAATATATAGGAAACGGTTTCCAGATGTAAAATGATTGTCGTGAAACGTCTTCACTTTAATCTTTATTTTGACTTCTGCAAAAGACGAGTTAAAGGCTAGACTAATAACAATTCTGCACTTATAATGGCATTTATCAGGGTATTATGGCAAAAACCTACTATACTAGACTTTATAGGTCAAAATGTGCAGAAGGACTACGGTCAAAATAAAGTCATTATAAACAAATAAAGGCTACCAGAAACACACTGTGCACCTAGGCTGTATATTAAAGTGAGACCTGGTGAAAATAAATTATGAAGCACCGCACAGTGAGTGGCCCATACAAACTCTTCAGGAGTATTATAAAAGTCAGGTTTTTCCTCTCCCATCTTTCATCCCCCTCTCAAACCAAGCAGAGTCGGACTGCCTCGCAGTGCGCGCTCCCGCAGACAGTGATGCATCGCCCCCTGCCGCCTCCGCGCGCGTCCCCCGCACAAGATGAATGCATCCCGGAGAAAAACCATCCACTTAATGACAACTTTTATAAATCTATAGCCGCGCCAGCGCATGTCTCTTTGTGGTCAGCCAGTCGAGATGAGCCAGATAATTAGGTCATAATAGCTGGAGAAACACCTCACTATTGATGATCCCATTAGGGAGATGATTTCCCCACCTCACAAGTGCTGAAACGTTTATTTTCTGAGCTGTTTTTGGTTTAGAGGGTTTCCCATAATGACAGAATAATTAAAACATTTTGCATTAAGATTATTCACTCCAATCTCTTTAAACTTTATTTGTGGGTTAAACAAGATATTCTGCATTGTGTTAAGAGCTGTCTGAGGAGCACAGTGTCCCACTATGTCACCATGAGAACTGGGACACACATCACCCCTATGATGGAGTGAAATCCATACTAGTACGGTTATAGTTGATATGAGGGGGGTTGATTGGCAACAAACATCTGCAGATATGTAGTCTACAGTGTGCCTGTTTGTTGGGATTCAGTCATGTTGAGGTGTTGAGCCTTTCTTCCTTGCTATTACTGTCCCCCCCCCCCCCCCCCCCGTCCATCTTTCAGTGCCGCCCCTTTCTCTCTGACCAGCCTTTACCATCTGTTTTGGCTCCCCTCCATTCTGTCCCCTCATCTTTTTCTCCTCATCTTCCTGTGTTTTGTGGACTGTCCACCCTCCCTCCAGCTTTGTCTGTCTTGGTCCAGCCCTGTCCATTGTTCCCCCTGTGCCTCCCATTTCCGCTTTGGTGTTGCCCTCTGACCCCACACCCTGTCCTCCCCCCTGTCCCTCCTGCTGACGCCGCCCCCACCTACTGCCCGGGACCCCAAATCTTCTTGTTCTTCTCTTGACTGCTCCCTCTTTAGGTTTTTTTGGGGGGCTAATAACTGTTGCCAGCAAGCTCCACACAAAATCCCAGCGTGATTGCTATTGTGAGGTCTACAATGGCATACAGGCAGTAATGGCCATTAGCAACACAGGGGCTCGGTCTGTGAGCAGTGTTTAGTTGTGTTTAGCCCACATGCGATTTGGACTGGTGGTCAGATAATCTTCAATTGGTCAGCCAAAAGTTTTTAGTCTCAGTCTCTCAGTCTCTGTTTCTGTTGGTCTGTTACTGACCCCCTCCCTCTCTCCTAAATTAGTGTAAAAGCATTATTTATATGAATGAAATCAATGTGGGTAATACAGGCCAGTAACACACACACACACACACACACACACACACACACACACACACACACCGCACCCCCATCGACACACACTAGTAATTGCAGTAGACTTTGAAGATCAGAGAGGGTCCA